GTTCCCACCTAACGGTTCAGCCGGTACACATTAGGGCAAAGGAATGGGAAAGTCTCGACTCTTCGACGCCCCTATTTCTTATCCCCCCGCGCCACCGTTGCATTACTACGAGTGATGGGTATTAGACCTGTCTAGGGCTCGGGGGCCCGGTGACCGGCGGAAGAGATGATATTTACACGAATTACGCCGGCTGTATATTCCGTGTTCGTAGAAGATGCCGTGTGTCCGCGTTGCAACGCGACCGGGGGTATGGCGCCACGCGAGAGATAGTTCTTTGTCTTTCTTTGTTTGGGATCGGAGATCTTGCTTCTATATGGGCGATTGTCGGGTTCGAACGAGACTCGAGAGCTAGGGGCTAAAGTCACAAAATTGGATCAGGTTTCCTTTTTGGGAGCGGCTTGGTGCGTTAAGTGGGCTGACGGAAGAGGCCTCCCGGTTCCAGAGACAAAGACTCGGATTGCGCTGGTGGAGTTTAGCTTCTGTCAAGGGGTTTTTAGGATTTACAATGCGTATTTTCGTGGAGCTTGATGCATAATGTGGTCATCTATCCACTTTTGGAAGTATTTGGGTGTTGAGAATTGGCGTTGGACATGATAGAAGAGAAAATTCTGCTTTCTTTTATTACAGGGCCTATGCTTACTGTACGAGCAAAACCAATATTCATACTATTGTCTCACTCTAAAATTCAATGGCTTAACGTCTGCTGCAACTGCCGATAGAGGGGGGATTTGCCGTGGCTAAGTTTCCGCAAGGTTCGAGTTCAGAAACTACTAGTAGACTATTCCGATGATCATCCTGTTGCGATATTGCCAAAGGCATCTTTAAACACCGCGGCCTGTCTGGCCTCTTTGTTTGAAGCACGTGCCTGAACCTGTATGCGGGACTAAGAGTATTCCCTGTCAGCGCCCCTGTGCTAAAGATACTAGATCTTGGATAGTGAACAGGGATTTGGTGGTGGGGGAGGCTAACAGAAAATAGTCTGGTCTTTCGGAAACGCACTGATAGCGAGACGATCATCGAAGAGTCTGGGCAACGAGACGAGAACTGTACTTTTTACCTTTCGAAGGAAAGCGCCTGGTAAGAGACAATAGAGTGGTATAGTGGTATGTATACTGGTATTGGTTAGTCGTAATGTTGATCTATCGTTTTCCATGGTGATAGACGGTAAACTAGCGGCACTGTTGCGCATCGTGTTGAATTCCGGCCGTTGCAGGAATCAATAGTTCCAACATCCAACATCCTTAACTTCACTGTATGCATCTACCGTGGTTTGGCGCCCCTATCCCCCCACATTTCCCGTGCGTTCCTGAGGACGGCACAGAAGAGGGGTATGATAGGTGTGAAAGCATTTCTATCATCACTTCCGGGACGGCACAGTTGGATCGTCGCATGTCGAGGTGATAGAGGCGTGTGTTCGCGTTGTCACTAGTCACGGCGTACTTAGGTAGTCTCTTTGAGCAGTTTAGGATAATTGGACCCCATACTTGCTCCTAATTTTGAGGAAGACGCTATTGACCATCGATGCCTCGGTGAAAGGGGAACATGTGCCTGGTTCAGGGGTTGGACGGTCACGTGGGTTCTTGCACGTATTAAAGAGTTGGAATTCTTAACAACTGCTGACTATTGGTCCTCAGTTAATATATTATGCATACTGAATGGAGTGTCTTGTTTTTGAGGGCGTCACCACCTCCACTAGGTCGGCAACAAGCGCGATCGCATCAACTCCACAGTCTCCAGGTGCAAGTCCACTCTATACTCAGTTCGACGTAGCCAGTGTGCCAATGACTGTACACTTGACAGTGCTGTTTTACTGCATGTGAGCATTGAGCTCAAGCCTCTAGATCAATCAGGCTCTGTCCTTTTCCTTTCTGGCACCATTTGGCTGAGAGGTTTAGAAATAGACCGATCTTCCATTCTAGGTTGTTCTAGCAACCCTTCCGCTTAACCCAAAATAGACTCGTTCGTGGGCAAAGTGTTCGCTTTAGTGGAGCACAGTGTCGGCGATCAAAAGCGCGAATCAAAACCGACATCTACACGAGTAAAGTTCCTTTGCTTTTGTCTTCAATTGATTGCACTCCACTTTCACTGTTGATCCCTTCTCGGCGGGAGATGTCGGGTAACAGCAAAGTCATGACAAAACAGAAGCAAGCAAGAAAGCTGCTTCATTTGTGATGAGGAACAGGAACCTGCATCTACAGAAATCCCCGGACAGTCTCTGAGAGGTTAGAAGGTCCGAATCTGAAGCTCGGGATCTGAACCGAGACCCATCCTTCACCAATGCGAGTCCCCACCAGCAATCCAGATTCCTCGAAAAGGAATCTCCACGGACGATCAGAACTTCAGCCTGCAAGAGATGTGACCAAAATCTCTCAGTTCAACAAGTGGTAACCACCAATCGTCTGCCGAGGAAGAGAACCCAAAAATCAAGAATGTGCGCATTGCCCTCAGTCCTGCAGATTCAGCTATGCACGCTTGCGACTTTCAAGTTCTTCACCCTGCCGAAAGTGGCACTGTGACTGTCAGATCAAACCTTAGCCGGAGAGCAGTTTCCACCCTCGTGCAGCGTCAGCACGAGGTGAACCCCAGTGCGCTCATGTGGACACCTCGCTCCCCTCGGCAAGACAGGATTAGGTTCCGCTACTCACCGAGCGAAATTGAGCGCGGCAGGTTCCATGTCGTCGGGGCGAAGCTGAAGAGACAATGACGACCTAGACGTCGGAAAGTCAATTTGATAATGGCTCGAACCGGCCTCGGGACCCATTGCAAGGGAACTAGATCACGCCGTCCTTCACACTTGACGATCCGGGCTGATTCCTTTTGCTCAAAGGGGGCTATGAGCAATGTCTATCGTTGTAATGTTCGCTGCCCCCTTTTTTTTTTGCAGGCTTGGGGCGGCAGACTGGTTACCCGATCAGGAAGGTGAAGGATGTCATTATTACGGCCCGCCCCCCCCCCCCCCCCCCCCCCCCCCGGATACCTTCTCCATTACGGAGACTGCGAACCTGAAACTGCGCACGGGATTACTGTGACCGAGCTCTTGGCCCAAGTGCTATATCACGCTGCATACGGTGGATACCGAATTTCAGGTTGGCGGTGAAGTGTCCGATTTGGATGACGACTGTGTATGATATCAGTCTTCGGGTGCTAGATGTGGTGTGCCAATATCTGTTCTACTGTAAGTCCAATTTAAAATAATTGGCCGGCGGTTAGGCTATTCCCAAAATGTGATATCTTTCAAACCTGGTTTTCGTCTTGCATGCTCTTTTCCTGTGGACCATGGCCACTCGAAAAGAGACACGGTCACTTTTTTCTCTATACAGTACTCGGGTTTCCAAAATAAAATAATGACATTCAATTCAACATAATCTCAGTCAGGTTGTAAGCTACAGGCTTCTATGAAATATCGAATTTGTGCTTAACCTTTAAGTAGGACTAACTATATTCACTAGCAAATGCGAGGATCCTCAATGCACATATATATCGAAGACCCAACATGACAAAATTTCCAAAAAGGATATATGACACAAATAGTGGCACATTTCAAAGTCCCAAACGGGAGAATATATATTAAAATAGCTTCAAATTATTGCCAGTAAGAGTATACCGTTGGGTGTCAAACTACAGCACGGTTGAACTATACGAATCGGAAGCCACAACCAATGGATCACAATACCACACAAATAGAGTCTTACCCGTTTACCAAGCCAAAGCAACAGTAACCGTGTAAGTTCAAAGCAATGACAAATGTAACTCCCAAGAAATGTGTAAGTTAGCTTTGTTGTGTCCAAAGGCAGACGATTTGGCATTCGGGTATTCAAGGGTTGGACCGATATGACATCCCTTGCATGGGATGGCTTTCGACCACACTCAAAGAACCTTTTGCACACATCATATTGACCAGCGATAGCAGCATCAAAGCGTGCTAAGATTCGCGTCGGCAGTTTCGAATAAATAGACTTATATTGCCAATTGTTCAACCGAGCAAATCCGAAATACACCCAAGATAGATCCAAACCCTAACGTAGAGGCTCCGCAACCGAGAAGTCGCAGACGCGTCGCGTATCAAATCGCTAAATTCTTCACGTCGGAATCGCTCCATCCCATGGAAGGAAAGCCCTCGAGTCATTGGAATGAGCTAGTTCCGTGCTTTTGCACGCTCCTATCACACGGCCCTAACTCGGGGTCTTCTAGACCGGGCAGAGGGTATAATAAAAAGAGGGAGACTCGCACTGCTTCATCCATTCCTTTCCTTTAGCCCTTATTTCAAATCCAGTTGCGGGTAATATCAAGCCACCGGCTCCGACAGACAGTTGACCTGATACACTACGTAGGTGGCACCTCATGCATGGGCGTCGATATCGACGCTGATATAGAGTACAGCCCGTCAGATGGCTGTTATCACAAATGAGATATGCACGATCCCCTGCTAACAAAGACACAGATCACATAGCTGCCAGTATGAAGTTCACATCGATTATCACCCTTCTCTCTATCTCTTCATTGGTGGCTGCAGCCCCAATTATCGAGCATCGAAACCTTATTCCGGGACTTCCAAGACCGATGCAAGCTGTTGAAGCTCTGTATCCTGGCTCTGGTATCCCGAAGCTTGCAAACAAGCTTGAGAAGACTCTAAATATCTGTATGTATATGTTTCTGGAGGCTTTGCTGTACGGTATAATGTGCAGAGCTAATACGATCCGACAGAACCGAAATCAAAAGCTTTCGAATTACATTCTTTTCATTATTGTTTTTTTTTTCTATCAGGGAGATCTCCCCGCAGTGAGACTGCCGTTTTCAAGTGTTATGCTGTTCTCAAGATACCAAATATTATCCAACGAATAATTGCCACAAACATATACTCCGATTGGTAAACTGCAGATGTGCATGATATAATATGTAACATGAAGGCAAAGGAAAGAAACCTTCATAAGATGAAACTCACTAGAGCACCAAACCACCCAACCAATGTCTTAGTTATAGCAAAAAAAAAAAAAAAAGGTCTAGAACATCCCCTCCATATCCAGATCCAAGAACTCGGGATTCCCAACTGCCATATCAGCAGCATTAAGCACATCGTCAATAGCATCCAACCCAGCTCCACTGGAATCAAGCTCCATATCCTGCGCAACACCAATACCCCCATCCATGCCAGCAGCAGCAGCAGCCGCCGCCTTATCAAGCATCTGACTAATATTATCAGGATCATCCTCGCCCACCGTATTCCCAGCCACACCAACAGAAGAAGGCTCCAAATCCATCCGATCATGCCCCTCAACACCCAGATGCAAGTTGTGGATGATATTGCTCACATCGATATTGGAGACCTGCGACGGAGGAGCCATGAGCAGGTTTACCCGGCGCCAGAGACGTACGACGATCTCAGCGCGAAGCGGGTCCTTCTCGGAGAGTTTGGGGACGGTCTCGTGGGTGAGAGTCAGCGCGTCGCGGAGCGTAAGGATAGGACAGCGGGGTGGAGATTCCTTCATCGGATCGATGGGATGGTAGTTATTCTGATCGACGGCAAAGGATTCAGTCATGGGCGCACATATCAGTGTAGTGGCGATGTCCAGTGCGACGTGACCGCTGTTGCTGGTTTCGGATTGGTGTTTTACTTCGTCGATGATGGTGGCGAGTACGCGGGTTGCGCCTAGGATGCGGATTCCGGCTAGAATCTGTCGGTGCGTGTAGGGGGTTGGGGCGGCGCTTGCTGTTGGGTTTGCGCTCCAGACTGTGAGGCTTTGGAATGTTGTGCGGATGCTGCCTACTAGGCCGTTTGCTGTGTGGGAGGTCCAGGTGTCGAGTTCGGTGCGGTGGCTGCTTCCTATGCGGCGGAAGGAGAGGTAGGGCTCTAGGGCGTCCAGGATTGGTTTTATGTCTGTTCGTGATTGGTGGCGGGTGCGGACGTTTTTGAGTTGCTCTTCGAGTGGGCGGGCGGTTATATTCAGGACTGTTTGGTGGATTGCTTGGGCTTCGCCGGAGATCGAGTTCGGTTTCACCAGGGAGTGGAGGGTTTTGAGTGGGATTGTTGGGTCTTCGGATTCCCAGATGTGGTTGCCCAGCCAGGTCAAGGCGACTACCAGGGATGGGAGGAGGAAGGGTTCGAGCAGATCTGTTGTTGTTAGTTGATGTATGCGATCAGGGCGAGAGATTCTTACATTCGAAGCCGCCTTTCAGGGTATCGAAATCCAGTTTCCCGGACTCGCATGCCCCGAGACTTTGATCGAACAGTGTCGTGACAAGCATGTAGAATTCATGAGGACTGCAAGTAGACATGGTCTCTTCACTGATGCCTTCAGCAATGAAGAGAGCTCCTATCCATGTGCCAAGGTCCTTGTTCTGCTTTTCACCAAGTTCGTTCAGCTTCTGGGTAGATGCGCCCCTGTCCATAAGTTTCAACAAGAAGGAATCATTGCTGGAGATTCCCATGTCTGACGGGCTCAAGTCATATCGGTATTTGAAGGCTAAAACCAGCAGTAGGATACTGCCGAACTCATCATACACAGGCTGATTCTCGCCTTGATCCTCGTCCCAATTCCAAGAATCGAGGATAGAACAGAGAGGCTGCAAGACCTGCTTTACAGGTCTGAAAAGTAAGATGGCATCCAAGGTTTGTGGGCGACGTGAGAGCGAGTTGCAGATATTCTTCAATGTCATTGTCTCTTTCTGATGACACAGACTATACATGACCTTAGGAGCGTTAGCACAGGTGCCCTTTAATGAATAGTTGAAAATACATACCTCGATCACTGCACCAACAATAGCACCTGCATTACCCTCCATCGACTCAATCTCACCGATAAGCTGCTCAGCACGTTCATGATTGCTGTTGATTTGCGAAATGAGATCATCCTTCACGAAGGGACCACCCCCAGGCAAAGTCTGCATGGGGTTTTCTCCAAGAAGCTGCTCGATGCTCGATTCTTGGATGAGCTTGTGCGACGCACAGGCAAAGAGGAACTCCTGCCGGGCATCTGACAGAACACTGCTTCCTTGCATGGAGAACATCTGTGAGAAAGAAGGGAAAGCGTTGGGGTTGAGATGGCTCAGCGCTTGACTGATGCACATTTCCATGGAGATTGGCACTATTTGAGCCGCCGAGATGGCCGCGAAGAACACCGGCAGTTTGTTCACAAGGAATGATCGGAAGAGGAACATTGTTCGGCTGGATTCATTTCGGTATACGCCATTGGAAAGGACATCGAAGGCGGCTGTGACAATTTCTTCAATCAGGACTTCATTGTGGCCCTGCAAGTGGTCAGTAGATATCCAATTTCCACTTGGATATTCCCCAAGCTCACCTGATATCGGTTGGTAAGATAATTGGTAAAGATAGTATCATCAACCAAAGGCCGTCCAACAACCTATCCCAAGTCAGCCAAACCATAGTCGAACACAAAACCCAGAAACGAAAACACCAACCATCGAATTAATGTAAATATAGAGACCAGCTCTAGTATTAACAACCGGCCCATCCATAACTCCAGCCTCAAACTGCAGCGCCCTAACATTCATCCCGTCAATACCATTACCAGCGTGATCCAGCGCCTTCGCATTGCCACTGGAACCGCCCCCACTCCCCGCTGGCTCAGGATACAGCCCAAAACCTTTCTGCAACTCCTCAAGGCGATGCCTAAGCGGCAGCGAAACATCAACATAAAGCGGCAAGTAAGCCGCAAGCGCTGTCCCCAATTTCCCCTTCAACACGCGATCGTAAGCCGCAGAAAGAACCTCCAGACCCTTCGCCGTACCCGAAAGCGTAAATAGCAAAATTCCCAGGGACTCGAACAGCGAGACAGCATCGGGCTCGCCCATCAGCCCCTCGCTCTGGCCGTGCGTTGATGCGCCCACGGCCGCGACATCCCCGTCCTGGCCACGCGCGTGCCAGCCGACCAGCGCAAGGATCCAGTCAGCGGTCGCGGAGTAAATGTCGCCTGCCTCGGTTGTGCTTTTTGGCAAGGAGGCGCCTGTTGACATTGACACCATTATGTCTTGAATGACTTTAATATCTGTCATTAGAGTTGAGCGAGGGCCATTGCCGGCGCTCTGCGCAGACACGTCCGCTTCCGCGGTCTTTTCTTCTTGGTTGGAATTGGGACTTGGGTTGGCGTTGGACGCCTGGATAGATGAATGCCGAAGCAAGCCCTTTAGCACCTCGGAGACCTTGACAAGCCCGGCCCGACACAGTCCGTCAACATATAATGGCAGTAGGGGATCCCAGGCGATGTGCGCATCGGTGCGCGACTGGAGAAGGAGATCGAGAAGGGTGCTTTCTTTGATGATGGTGCGTGACAGCATTAATTTAGACAAGGTCGTGAACTCGTCTATATCTATTCGGTTTGATAGACATTGGTGGAGGAATGTCTGCCATTGTTCGGGCGGGGTTTGGGGGCTGTCTTGGTGCATTGCGCTTCTGGGGGAGTGGGTTTCGTCAATTTGTGCCTGTAGGTGGAGGGTCGTGTTATATTGGTGGCATGTTTGTTCTTTTATTGAGTTGTGGTTTGAATTGTTCTTCGGTTTTGGTCCGGGGATAGCTTGGGGAGCTAGTGTTGATTGCAGGTCACGTGGTGATAGCATTTCGAGATAAACACGTGACCCATGGATCTTGTGGCCTGAGGTGGCGGCGTTAAGGCGACGTCGGTGTTAAATAATAGTGCAAGGGATCCATTATTGGAGAACTTCCGCAATAAAAAAAGCAGACCCTAGAATTTTTACTCAGAAGTTATCATATGAGCATCGCTGGGTAAACCTGAAGCCTGGGAGGGTGGAACGATTACTGGAGAGAGATGTCTAGATTCCATCTTGTATACAAGGTTTACATTTACCCACTACAATGTTGAACAAATATTTGAAATGATCATTCAATTTCATTATCGTCGTGACGATCCCAACTGCAGACCCAAAAAAACGATTAAGCTCAAGTGGGGATATCAATCAATGCAACAGAAGGGGAAAAACCAGCGCCTCTATCCGGAACCCGCTCGAAAGGTAAAAGCTGAAGAAAAAAAGCTATAAACAAAGAAAATGCATCAAAGCCGCCTCTCATCTAGAGAGAACAGAAATCATCACATCAAGGTAATTAAACCAGGGCGACTGATTTACCACCAGTCACCGTGGTCCTTCATGGCCTCAGCGACCTTGGTGAAGCCAGCAATGTTGGAACCAGCAACCAGGGAAGGAAGGACACCCTCGGCGGGGGTGACGTACTCCTTGGCGGTAGCGAGACCGTTGTTGAAGCAGTCCTCCATGATGTTCTTGAGACGGGAGTCGACCTCCTCGCGGGTCCAGTTGACACGGGCGGAGTTCTGGGCCATCTCGAGACCGGAGACGGCGACACCACCGGCGTTGGCGGCCTTACCGGGGGCGTACCAGATGGCAGCGGCGCCGGGGTTGGCGTCACGGTGAGCCTCGAAGACATCGATGGCCTCCTGGGTGGAACCCATGTTGGAGCCCTCGGCGATGAACTTGCAGCCGGCGGCGATCAGAGCCTTGGCCTCGTCGCCGGAGACCTCGTTCTGGGTGGCGGAGGGGAGGGCAACGTCGATACGGCCGGCGATGTTGGTCCAGGGACGGGCACCGGGGATGTACTTGAACTTGGAGGAGAAGGCGGAGGTGGAGGCGAGCTCGGAGATCTGCTTGCGCTCGACCTTGATGGCGGCGATGGTGTTGATCTCCTCGGCGGTGAAGGAGCCCTCCTCGCCGATGAGGACAAGGGCACCCTGGGAGTCGGAGAGGGAGACGACGGAACCGCCGAGCTCAATGACCTTCAGGGCGGCGTACTGGGCGACGTTGCCGGATCCAGAGATGGCGACGCGCTTGCCGGCGAAGGACTCCTTGCCGCCAGTGGCGTGCTTGATCATGTGCTCGGTGTAGTAAACGACACCGTAGCCAGTGGCCTCGGGGCGGATGAGAGAACCACCCCAGCTGCCACCCTTACCGGTGAGGACACCCTCCCACTGGTTGCGGATCTTCTTGTACTGGCCGAACATGAAGCCGACCTCACGACCAGTGACACCGATGTCACCGGCGGGAACGTCAGTGTCGGCACCGATGTGCTTGCAGAGCTCGGTCATGAAGGAGACACAGAAGCGGCGGATCTCGTTGTCGGACTTGCCCTTGGGGTCGAAGTCGGAACCACCCTTACCACCACCCATGTTCAGGCCGGTCAGGGCATTCTTGAAGATCTGCTCGAAGCCGAGGAACTTCAGGATGGACAGGTTCACCGAAGGGTGGAACCGGAGGCCACCCTTGTAGGGACCAAGGGCGGAGTTGAACTGGACACGGAAACCGCGGTTGATTTGGACCTATTAAAGTTAGATGAGGATCATAGACTCGTCAGTTGTTTTTCAATGGGTGGTCTTACCTGACCCTTGTCATCCTCCCAGACAACACGGAACTGGACGATACGCTCGGGAACAGAGACAACCTGGAGGGCCTTGCGGTACTCGGGCTTCTTCTGGAAGAGAGTGGAGTTCTCAAGAGTGGAGGCAAGCTCTGTCGGGATGGTTAGCTGAGTCACGCCGAATTATGGAGCCAGAACCCGAAGTTGCCGATGGCAAAGCAATGAGCCGATGGAGGGGCAAACAGTAGAGATTGAGAGGGGCAAAGAGGAGGGAGGGGTTTGGAGGGGTAGAGGGGTGATTTCTCTCTCTCTGTCGCAAAAAAAAAAAGACAGCTAGTGTGCACACATACCCTTGTAGGCCTGCTCGAACTCGGGCTCAGCGGGAAGGTTCGACATCATTGCAATTGGAATAATTGACTCTTTTATAAAAATTAAGGCAGATGAGATATTATAGAGTCGAGGGAGTCCCAAAACAGAGTGAGTGAAGAAACAGAAGAGAAGAAGGAGGAGTCTACAATTATATACCGGATGGGAGGTGGAGAAAGGGCTACCGGAGTCGGACGATAGATTCCGGACACGGGGAAATAGGAACGGGAGATGGAACAGTTCAGTTCAAGGACAGTGAGGAGGAGAGTGGTACGGGTGAACAGTATAGGCAATCCAATGGATGAGCCCAGAGGTCCGATGGTCGGGGCAACAATTATCTTATGCTTTAAGGTCACAGAATTGGCCTTATCTTTGGGGCGAATCCACATCCCTGCGAATAAGTTAATTCTTATTACTCGACCGCCATTACTACTCTATTTCCCCGTCCAATCAGAGCGATATCTGGCTTCCTATTTCTTCCTTGCCTCAATTTGCCTCTTCCGTATTTACTTCGTAGCTTCGGTCGACTCCGCCCTGGGCAGAGGAGGAGATTTTTGACATGGGCAGAACCTGCAGAAACTGGCCCTGGAATGCCGGAAATCCGTTCCTAATGAAAAAAAAAGTAATAATGCAGCCATCATCGTTCAGACTCAATGTATGATGCGTCGAGGACAGATCGCCCCCAATGTCCCAGTAACATCCCCGCCACCAACTGCCCACTTCGGTAGTGTGGCGCGGCAGTCACGTGTGAGTCCGCAAACGGAGTGGACCAGAGCTTATCTGATCGACCTTTTTTCTGTGCAAACAGTTTTGACTCACACTTTTAATAGATCTATATCCCACTGGCCAATGCTTTATCTCCTATATGACCACATAATCCAATCCCTACCCCATATGCTCACCCCGGGTCAACGGGGCATAAACAATGAGGGGTAACTCAAATTCGATCGGTACTCTCTTCCAGCCTACATGCAAGTTACGTTGGACAGCATACAGTACACATGCGACCAAGATCCAAGGACTGCGCAAGGCGCGTTGTCTCTGCGGTGCCTGCACCCAAGTCCCGAATCCAAGGTAAGCTCCCCTGGGCACAGACGGGGGATGCTTGGGTCAGGCACACTAGGGCCCGCCCGCATTTGACCCCGAGAGGGGGGAGGCCGATGCTCGGCCTGAAGCAACCCTTGTCAGAATATAGCCTATTGTATATGTACGGTAGTACTGTATCTTCGTGGCGCTTGGATGATTCCTTATCGTACGACTGGAAGAAGCAAATCCAGTGCACAAGCCTGTAAACTAAGTTAATTGGCGGCTGCCGCGTCCAAACCACTTGTTTACAGTAGGATTCACTTCTCTTAGTATTCGTACACACAGCCCCCGTATACAAGGTTTGGATCATCCAATGCACCGCACATCCCGCCTTGCCACTGTGCATCCTGCCTGCATACCTGTACAGTACACCAGTCAAGTAATTGATCGCCCGGCACCTGCAGTCGTTCAACCAATCCGGGGAACGCCCACTCCTGTGCTCCGGCAAACGGACTCAAAAATGGGGGGGCCATGCCCCACCGCTGGTGTTTGCCTTTTTCCAGTCCGGAGTACTGTACAGTACTGTGTAGTGTAGTGTGCTCACCGGGCAGGCCATATGGGGAGGTGGCCCTTTTCACACGGACCAACCTCCGTCTTGTTCTCTTATTCGTTTTGCCGGAGGTGCGTCGTGGTATTCGGTGTGCTTGCATCTTTGCATTTGGGATGGATGAACTTGTGGCACGTGTGGAACAGAGGTCGTGCGTGTCCTCCGACGAGGGGGCACAGATGGAATTTTCCTTGTCGATCTGGAAGCTTGTTTGGTTTCTAGGGCTTTAGGGTTGTCAGTTCCGAGCCCCGGTCTTTCTCTCCCCCACGAGGGACTGCATATGCATTGTTGCGTAGATTGTGGGTTGTGGATTTGGGTTTGAATTTGAATTTGCACTACCAGTAGTTGCAGCTGGAATGTACATATGCAATGTTAAATGGACTTGGTCTTCAACTTTTTGATGCAGTCTATCCTTGAGATGATAATTTTGAGGGTTATTGTAAGGCATATTTGAACATAAAGACTAATCTGGGAACATGATGAGGCATGTAGTTATTTTTGCATAATGAACAAGCTTTTTCTAGCGCCGTCGTCATTGGCTTTGTCTTTGATGCCATTCTCGAAATCGTAATCTCTGCACCAAGTGCCGTCTACTTTGAGGTCGGATCTATCTCCACACCAAGTCATCTGAGAGAGAACTATCCCTCACACCAGGTAGCCTAGTATGACCGAGCATACTGCCCAGCAGACCATACTCAACGAGAGAATGAAACAAAAACAGTAAAACAACCCAAAGCACAAGAGAAACACCCGGGTTCCAAGCCCACAACCAAGTCGACCAAAACCAGCGAAAATAGCGACAGTTCAAGTACATCCCAAGAGTAATCAATCAGACCAAATACCACTCCAAAAGAAAGTCCTACAAAATAATCCTATAAACGCATCCAAGCCAGCCCATCACGTCCCCAGACCCAAAACCACAACAGCCGTATTATACCACCCACAAAGACACCAAAGCACCCACCGATCTACCATATCCACCTAGATCTGAGCACCGCAGGACAGTACGTATCCCCCCTACCCAAAGATCCAGATCCAGATCCAGATTCAGATCTAGATCTCAAATCGAAGATCCACCCCAAACTTACCAAGAGCCGCAACCCCACACAGACCCCAGACAGCCTAACCCTGGAACATGTACCCTGCACACAGCAACTCCAAAACCAGCCACACCGGACATTCACAACAATCTCAGACAATTAGTCATTGCTACTTGAGTTGCTGCGCTAGATAATCTCATAGTACACCATACCCCAACGCCAAGCCGGGAAGTTCGAGGCGGGTGGATAGGCCAAACCCGATGTTATCGGCGGACTCCGTTGCAGGCGGCTTCCGCAATCTGGGAAGATGGAGGGTGGATGCTTGTTTCCCTATCTTTTATACCCCGCGTTGCGGTATCATTGTTGTGTCATTGTTGGTTTGTTTTACTTGAGATCTTCGGGTTCGGGGCTTGATTAGTTAGGGTTGGGCTGGGCAGGAGGGGGAGGGGGTTGGGGTCTGATCGGTTTGAGGTTCCGGGTTAGATAATTCTGGTATATAACCCAGGGGAGAGGGGATGAAGAGGATGTAACATGGGCTATTTGCCATTTGGGGGTCTCCTTCTGGGTTGGGTTTTATGGTTGCCCGATAAGGTAGGTGGTCACGTTTTGAGTGCTGGACCTGGGATTTGTGGCTAAGATTGGGATGGAGTGTTCCTATTCATATTTGAATGGCTCAGCTCATGCTCCCGAGTCATTATATAGCTGAACAGGGATGTTCTTGAGCTCGACAGTCTGGCTTCTCGTGTCGTTACACTCGAAACACATGTTTTCCACCACCTTGATTGTATGATCAGGTGAGTGAACTGCATCAAATGCGAAGTTCTGAGCTGAAGACCCAGTTTAGTGACACGATAGCTTTCACTAGTTCCACGACAAAACCAACTATTGTGCGAGCTCAACGTGGCATTCTAGCGTCAGTGAGACACGACAGATAGCGGTCAAAACAAACCCACAAAAATTATGCACTTTGCATATTCGTATTGTGGTCGCAAGATGTCGATGCTCAGATCCAGCCGTAACGTAGCAAGCTTTTCTCCAAACCCGGTGGTGGGGTCTCATCTGAAGATCCAAGTGCAGTCCCGCGCTTTCAATAAGCGACTTTGCATCCAGCAGTGGAACAACATACCGCCAACAGCATTTGACCAACCGCGACCGGTTAAATCAGTTTGGTTCAGAGACCGGTGTGCAATTGATCGTCAGACTGGCTCCTTGGGCAGCAGCGCAGAGACCTCTCATGCACATTGTTCGCTCACCTCCTGTTCAACGCGACCAAGTCCCCCCCCCGTGGATTGGAGAGTTCGTTTTGTGGCTATGGTGTCTGCCAAGTATCGACGCGTCCACAGGTTGGATAGATTGCATCTGTGCAGCGTGATCTCGATGGACTGGGAGCGAATGATCCGGCTACTGGATGGTGCTAGTTGCCACTCTGATTTAACGAAGGGACTGAATTCCGATTCCGTGTGCGACAGCGAAATGGGTTGGTGCGCTCGGTGTTAGCAGATCGACGCTGGGCTGCTCGCTTGTGTCTGCGGTAGACCCGGGACATTGGCACCGAGGCCTCCCCCCCCTGAATTGTACATGCTGAGCTCGAGTCGGCGTCGCATCGCAGTGTGTCCGTCATTTACCAGGACCTCGGTATAGCACCCTTTCCTACAGGGAGACCTCAGCTGAAGTCGCAATCGCATTGTCTCAGGAGGGGCACGATCCTGTTGACCACGTCAATCGGGCTGGCTGATTTGATTGCAGCTGCATATGCACAGCAGCAACATGTCATATCTGGAGAAAGCGCCGACATCTGTCATATTACCAGAGTGGATCTGGGCAACTCCGCCAGTGGCAAACGGACATGGCGGAGAAGGATTGGATGTCTCGACCTTGGGGAAGCGATCAATGGGCAGATCACTATGCAGACCATGTGAAGAATAGCAAAGTACGAAATTGCAACTTAAACCTGGCTAGCGTCACTATTACGTGCAGCCAAGAATCCCCAGAAAAGGAGAGCCGAGTGCAAGCTGGAGTGTTCTCCATTTTACCTCCCTAAGATCAGCTCTGTCATTTCTGATCTGGGAATTGGCGCGATCGGAAGCTAGTCCCCGCTATAGGGGGCTCTAGCTGGCCCCTGCGTTGACTGGGATGGGACATGGGACACGGATGAACCTGGGCTAGGACTTGGACTAGGACCTGGGCTGGAGAGGCTTGGTCTTCTTGTTCGCCCCTGAGAGCTGAAGCACAAATCGGCTTATTGACAGCCGAAGTGGGTTTCGGAGGTTCTCGGTCTGCTGCACGCGATATTGACGACCCGGTTCTGGGGAGTATACAGCTCACTTTTGGCTGTCACTGGATACGCCACTCCGATCTATTATGCAATTGTGAGGACACTGCAGGACACATGGTTCATTCTTCTTCTGTTTTTCATTCGTGGTCTTTGTCGTTACCCCAGCATGGACTTCTTTGATTCCAATCATGACTAGGCGCCTTGCTCCCAGACCGGGTTAGATTGCATCTTCCCCCCCTTTTTTTTTGGGCAGAGGCCTACATTAAATAGTAAATACATAAAAATAAGGAGAAGAATGGGAGATTAGAATCGACGCCATCTCGATAGAGGTAACCAATCAGCGGGAGCAAACACGATCTGTATAAATAAAGGAATAATCCAACGGGCCTTTTACCTAGATCGAATGCGACTCCACCATTGACCCGTGGACAAGCAGATCTCAGGATTGGCCTGACCGGATAGACCCGTCGTGATGGATCCGATTTTTGGGAAGAAAAAGACTTATACTCTTTCTTTCTTTGCCTCTTGAATGTTCCAGAATCCTGACCTTCTTCCTTCTCACCTTCTCACCTTACCTTCTTCTATTCTTCCTATCTCCCTTCTCGGGAATTCAAAATGTACGTTCTTTTAGTACTGCATTGAATTTGGAATCCTTTCTCCCTTCTTCTCCCCCCCCAAATGGTCCCCTAATGTCCAAGCAACCTCGACGGACTATTAGGGACCTGTTCCGTTCTACCCCTATCCCATCTCGCCTCTTTCGTCGTAGGGATTATTCTTCCAAGTAACTTCCCTTCTCCACTACCCCTCGTGTTCACAGACCTCATTACAAGAGCAGCTTGGGGCACCACATTCGACCCCACTGGATTCCCCGAAAAGAGAAAAAGCGGCGCAACCCCCCCGAGGACGAAAAAAAAAAAGAAGAATACAGCTAAAACAAACCATTCAGACACATAGATCCTCCTATGAACTCCCATCAATTCGATCCGGCCACCATGATCGGTCTGGCCGGTGCCTCCCCAAGAACGGACGACAACTTCGATATCTTTGAATGGTACCCCGGCTATCAAAGCTGCCAACGATATTTCCTAGACCACGCCCAACACAGTGTCCCCGTCCAGGCTCTCTCGGCATTCTTGAACATTCGACTTCCCTTCCAGCGCCAACCAAATCCCGTCTTCAACTCGACCTCGCCATCCTCGTCTTCCTCCGCCACCCACATCCCCCCAGCCGGCTCACAACCCCCCGGTCCGCCCTCCGTCTCTCTGATCCCATATATCCGCCGTCTAGTCGCCACCGGAATGGACTTCCCCGGCGTGTTGCACGGCTTCTTCGGCGACGACTGGGGCAGCGGCGTGGGCCCATTGCACGAGCAAGAACGGCGCAATTACCTCTTCGCCGCAAAGAGCGGTGGATGGGCTTCCGTGAAGAAGGACTACGATATCCCGCCTCTGGAGACCATTCCCTTTTTGCGCCCTTTGCAGGGTTCCTCCGATGCCGAGATCGAAGCCGCCGAACGCTCCTGGAGTGAATGGCTCGCCATGGAAGATTGGATGGTTGGTCCCCGGGCGCCTGATATCCTCCACGACTCATCCTCGCAAAATTCACGGCCGCGCAGTGCACGCGGCTGACCCATTGTCTTTCGATTCTTTTCTTTCTCCTCCCGTTCTCTTCATTTTCTTGTCTCTGTTTCTCTGTTGAATCTGACTGTCCTCACATCGGCTCGGCGACTTGGCGTCCTCTGTGCCCCATTTGGTCTTTTTCATGTCTAGCGATTCTGTTGTTCATTGTTCAGCGGCTTTTCTTCTATCCAGCCTTATTCGGAGATCCTGGGATTGCAATATGCAATGTGCAATATGCCATTTGCCCTTTATCCTCTTTTTCGTCTTCTACGTGGGATATACTAGATCTGGATGTATGCATTATACCTATACCTCAGTCTCTCCAAATCACATCCAAGCCATATCTCACTCTCAGACCGCGCAGCCTCTATTCCGGTACCATCGGATACGACAATTCCGAACCCAGACCAGTCCCGTCTATTGATCATTGCCGACGCCTCCACAGAGAACCAAAAGACCCCTCCTTCTCCAAAGGGCCCCCTCCCAAAAAAAAAAACAGCTATTGCCTGCCCATCCACCAGGGATAGCAATTATTGAAACAGTTCAATACGGGAATAGCGGCAAATCCGCACAAGCGCACGTCATCCCGGCCGAGTGGAAGCCCAAGCCCTAAGGAGAAGGCTGTGGAGATGGCTATGGAGAAAGCCTATGGAGAAGCAGGGAAAACTTACTCAATGACCCCCAACAAAAAGCCCCTAGAAAAGGAAAAGAAAAAAAAAAGAAAAAGAAAAAAAAAGCCGACCATCAACGTCCGTACCAATATTTGCTCCGTGCCGTTATTTGTCTTGCCCTCTTTTCCTCCCCACTGGTTTGCGCTATACCGCTGTGGACACCCCAGATCCAATCCGAGATTCGTCCGTAGCTGGCCATCCCGTGGACTGTAGGCTCCGGGTGGATCATGGGCGCTTTTGCTAGCCGCTGACTTGAGGTCCGTTCTTGGGGCTACCGTGGTGTCTGGCAGGGGAATCGCGATGCGAAGCGATATAGTTGCTGTTATGGGGGTGTGGTTCAGATCCAGATCCAGATTCAGGTTCAGGTTCGGTTCAGGTTCAGGTACGATCTGGGGCATCGGCATTTACGGTAAGGCTAATATTGACACTACGGTACCATGTTGGAGCGGGACCCCTTGTGACTTTTAGTTTCGGTTTTGGTTTTAGTCTTAGTTTCAGACCCCGTAGAAGCCCGTCTTTTCTGGTGTTGATTTGGGTTGGGTTGCATATTATAAGTTAGTATGAATCGGGGTCGGAGGTCGACTTATTGAGGGAAGTGTCCACCCTAGGGCTACCACTTGCATGATGTGACGCTTTCATATTCAATTTATTGCTTGATAGATTCGATCAATTTCGACTTATTTGGTATTCGACTTTCCAGTATAGCAAAAATCATAATTCCCCCGGGATCTCACCCGATAGCAAGCAAGGAACAAGAAACCTAACCCCCACGCCCCTCTGAAAAACCAGGGGGGAAACACCGTACAGTAAACCCATTCCTCCAAAATGCCCGTCGATCTAGTCTACAGATGGATCACGAAAAAAAGAACCAATCAGGTCGACGCTACGCGGCTCCGACTAAGGTTTGCCTCAAAAGTCCGAAATCTGTAGATTCATATGCCGGCACATCGTGGCGTAGCTGAAAAACCCAGAGTCTATCAGCCTAGCGCGGCATTAGTGCCGTACCAAGTGCATTCCTTTCTTTTCTTTTTGCTTTTTGCTTTTTTTTTCCTTTTTCCTTTTTCTGCTCGTTTCGATCTTAGTCGATTTCCCCCTGCGGAGGCCCTGGATTCCTGCGACCGTGACTGGTCAGGACGGGCGTCTATCAGAAAAATTCTCCGAGATCACCCTTTTTCGAAGCCTCGAACTTGTTGTAGCGGAGAAGTAAGTTGTAATTCTTCCGAGTGGCTTTGGGGGCGTTGACTGTACTCCGTACTGTAAATGTACATACTGTCCGACCCCCTTTTTTTGTTGTCCCTTTTCCTCAACTCTCAGTCCCTGAGTCCTTCCCGTGCAGATCGAACTCTCCCTGAAACGGCATGAACCAAGTTTCGGTGGCATGTCAATGCCCGTGGACTGTAAATCAGTGGACTCCGTTTAAAGGCAAACCTCCGTGCGAGTGTCCTATCATGTCCTGTCGAAAGGATCTTACTGTACATGTACGGTGTTTCGTCATATAACCGTGTCGAAGGATGTTACTGCACTGGTTCGATATGCAGTCTGCAAGCCCGACGCCAAATATTGGGTTGCTGCAGAATGATCGAATCCAAGCCAAATAAGGAAATAGTACACGTAGAGTATCTTGTACTGTACAGTATCCAGGTCCTGCTTGCATCATCAATCTCAACTCCTAGGCTGATACTATCCTGATCCTGATATCGATACCAATATTGACACTTGAAAGTGCATGTCCCGGTCAAAGCGAACGGGAAGTTTGGTCCGGAAAAGAAATCGTGGCCCTAAGGTGGGTATAAAACGAAGTCTGGTACAGTACTCTGATGCACTCTGGTACAGTCGAGTGGATTGTCCTGAAATCGTGGGTTGAACGGTCCGGACTGACGGCGCTTCGGGGAAGATCTATGACCCAGCCGGGATTTCGGTCCGCGCTTAAAAGGGTGAAGAATTGGATCTGCGACTATTTGAATCTGAAACTGGTCTGAACTTGGATCGGTGGGGGTGTGCGTGAACTTGTGAAGTATTACTCCGTAGATTATTTCATGCAGTCTTTGTGCTTGAACGAGGGCTCCGCTCTTTTTTCCTGCTTTTGTGCATGGTTTGGGCCCGGTCTTGGGGGGTTTAGGCTGATCGTGTAGATCATTGGAAGTTGGCGGTGTGGAAGAGAATGTCATGTTAGAATTGCAAAGGGATGTATCAGGACGCTTCGACCAAAAGAGACGCGTTAAACTTCAACTCAGAGTGAAATCTTCATATCTTGAGACTGGGATTCAATCGGACCTCGGGGTCGGCATTCGGCTTTAGATCCAAGTGCGCACCGAACCGCCATAGGTTCTCTCCTTTCCAACCCCCAAACCCAGCAACCAAAAACCAAGCACACTGCAAATACAAAATGGTGAGCAACTTCCTAAAAAGGCGTGATCCGAAGAAAGTAGCGTGTGTCCTTGGTCACGAAACCAAGCTAGTAGCGCTATGAATAGAGACCTTGCGAGTCTCGGCCGACTGAACAAGCGTGAGAAAAGTCTTCGTCTTAGACCGAGCCCTAGCCTGTCCACCGAAAACCAAAGCTCCCTGGGTACGGGCGGCAGAGCCATTGGCATTGCCATTGGCATTGCCATGACGAAGGCCATTTTGGACGGGACCATTCACCGAGACTGATTGGCTTTTGATCTCTTGGAGGGTTTCTTCTAGGAACCCTGGTCGGTCCCAGCAGGATTCTTTCTCTTCGTGTTCGCAGGTTTGGAAGGGGGTGCCTGCGAGACACCAGGAACAGTCGGTGGACAATTGGCATGAGGAGGCATGTACATTGCCTCCGTGTCTTTGGGCGAGCAGGTCCATGCTGGGCATGGATGCGGCGAGTAGGTCGTATCCTTCGAGGAGGCTGTTGCATGGGGAGGATTCCCATGGTGAGCGGTTTCCGATTATGGCATCGCCTAGATCGGAGCAGAAGAGGCACTTGATGTTGTTGAGTAGGGATATCCAGGCGAGACTTTCCTTTTCAAGTGATGTTTTCTTGAGCTCGCTTGTTGGTGAGTCCATTACTATGTCTGCGAATTCGTAGCCGAAAATCGAGGATACCGTGAGCGGATGCATGTTCGATGCCCTTGGAGGCTGGATGGTGGTCTTTGAGAGATTCACGGAAAATCCCATGATAAGATCGCGGACAGTTAGTTCACTTCCTGTTGATTTCTCAAGAACAAGGCCTCCTTGGTCACGCAGAGCATTCCATGACGGACAATGGGAGTCAGATGTTGGCTCGGCGAAGGGCGGGAAATTGGCCCTGAAGCTTTTGTTTATCGTTTTATAGTAAGCCAGCAGCATGTGATGGAGCACAGAGAGTAATGAGACCAGCCAGGCTCTTTTTGTCTTTACATCATAGAGGATGATAGGCTGTTGGGAGCTGCTCGACAAGCATTTGAGGTAGTTTCCTGAGGGGCTGAACTGAATGGTGTTGACGGATCGATCAAACATCATACCCATTTGAGCTCCGAAATTCAATGGAGACGCGGTTTGTGCCATGAGTTGGAGGTTTGCTCCGCTCCAGTGCCAGGTAGATGTCTTGACTTTGGCATTGGACCATGTTACATTAGGAACTAGCCGGTTCGTGCCTAACAGGACTTCTGCTTTGGAGCTCCAGCCTAGTATTGCTGTTGCGGAAAGCAAATCTTCGAAATTGGTTAGTCGAAGCCATTGCTTCTGCGTTGCTTGCAGGTCAGAAACCTGAAGTTGAAAGTCGCCTGTGGCGGTTTCCAAGTGCCACATAATCCTGTTATCGTCGGTCTGCTTGATAGGTATAAGTGCCGTTGAGTAGCCCATGAGGATGATTCCATCATCGACCATGATAGGATATTCGACAGCTGCAAGCTTAAGTAGCTGCTTAAAGTCCAGCTCGAGTCCTTCACATGGTTTAAGTCGAGGTTCAACAGAGGACTGTAAGGCGATCACGGCCGAGTCAAAGAGAGGATACCAGCATTCAGCGCTAGAAAAGAAAGATTCGAATGGGGCTAGCTTATTGAGTGATTTTGAGCCCTCGTCACTGAAGCCACTTTTGAGCGTGGAAACGGAAATCTCATGTTGAGCTGCCTCCCGAAAAGTGAGGCAAATCCATTCCAATGCATCCCGCGCCTCGAGTGCTTTTGTTGTAACACACAAGCGGACGTAGCATTGATGGACTTCAAGTCTGATGGTTCCATCGACTGTTTTCTTTTTGTTAGCGCCAAGATCATGTGTAGTGATCATGTTACTCACGGTAAAGACCGCGGGATGCTCGGAGAGCTCTCATGATTCCCTGCAGTAGTCCCATTCCTACGACTCCAAAAGAGCTTTTGAGAAAGTCGTGGCAGGATGCGAGTTTGACTGTATCCTTTTTTCTCGTCAAAGTCCCTCTGTGTAAAAGAGCTGGTCCAATATCATTTAACGATTCCAGTATAAGGGGGAGTTCCCAATCGAACTTGAATTCACGGGTCTCACTATCGGTAATTCGAACCACTGGTCTTGGTATCTGAAGTGCATCTATTGAGAGTCGATGCAGTGGGCCAATACGTACCCCCGTTGCAAGAAGGGTACTTACAATCAATCGTTCCTCGGTATCATTTGTAGAGCTTTGAGCATCAAACACTCGTTGCAGTGCTGCAGCAAGCGCGGTTCCAAAGCTTCCATGTTCGAGTAGCATGTCAGCATCAGCTCCTGCTTTTAAAAGGGCTTCCAATGCCTTAACAGAAGTAGCAGCAGCCAAAGCACTGCCGTGGGGTCCAAAGTATAACTGCATATCAATATCAGCACCGGCTCTCACCAAGAGCTCGATGACTCGAGGGGACGGGTTTGGACGAGAAGCAGCCGCTGCCAGAGCACTACTATATAAACCAACTGGGGTCTGCATGTCGATATTGCAGCCGGCTTTAATCAGAGTTTTGATATTCATGGCAGAGCTAGACTCATCAGTCGCAGAAGCGGCAGCAATAAGAGCGCTGCCAAAATCGCCAAGAAGCAGTACCCTGTTGACGTCCGCGCCAGCTTCCAGGATAGCATCGAGGCTTTTAGGAAATCGGGACCCGGCGGCGGCAGCAAGGGCGCTTCCGTAAGTGCCTATATATACTTCCTGTTCGACATACGCTCCAGCGTCGAGGAGAGACTGAAGGTTTTGAGGCGAAACCACAGCAGCGCACAAAGCACTACCATATAAGCCAGTTTTCAAAATTGCATTCACCGAGGCACCTGCTTGTATCAAAAGCTGAACGTTCCTGTTCGAGCCTTCTCTAGCGGCAGCAGCAAGCGCACTTCCATATTCCCCTCCAATCAAATACATATCAACATCAACTTCGGTCCTCAGAATAATCTTCAGAGTTTCAGAATGTCTCGACGCTGCAGCCGCACAAAGTGCACTACCGTATTTCCCACTAAATAGCTGCATGTCCGGATTTGCGCCTGCTTGTAATAGATGTCGAACGACTTCGACTAAGCCTGCAGCAGCTGCAGCAGCAAGAACACTGCCATACACTGGATGGGCCGGGGTCGCATCCGGATCGCGCAACTCAGCCAAAAGCGCTCGAATCTGCGATTTTCCTTTCCCCTCTGTGATAGCAATAATAAGATCATGGCCAGGTACAGATCCACTAGCTGGTTCCTGTTGAATTGTGTCGAAGGGAATATCCTGGCACATGAGTTCAGACAACGTTACTGCCCAGCATCCACGGGTATTGCGCTTACCTCTTCGTCCAGCATCATGTTCGATTCGAGAGGTTCGTCCTTCTTGCCGAACGGCTTCCACTGTCGAAGGGCCCGAGTCAACCAGCCCGGTTTGGGGACATTGTCTTTGAAAATGCTTGATCTTGATTTCACGAATGGGTTATGCTTCTGGAGCTTATTTGTTCTACCCCGACGAGACGGAAACCCGTCTAGTTCGCTGGATTCATAGCCATCCGCAGATCTGCGATGGAACGTCCCTGCTTCTTCGTATCGTTGTTGTGAGTCGCCTATTAGAGGATCACCTGCGATGTTATCGAATGGCCAGTCGTTCGCAGCCATGGTGCTATGTATAAGGTGTGGAGGATGAAGGAACTCACATTCTGGGAGACCGTGTCTTTGAATATAATTAACATGGTGAGAGGCGAGGTCATCCGCCTCAACATCAGCCTCAGCCTCACTTTGGGAAAACCAAGGGTGAAATCAAGAGATACGAGATCATTGCGGAAGTGGAAAAAGATGCCTGGGTGGACTGCAGGTGTGATTGGTGATCTGGTAGTCTTGGCAAAATTAGGAATAGTAAGACGAGTCATGTTTAGCGATTTAGTTGGAGATTTGGGGGTTGCAGCCGATGCGAAGTATTTTCGATGGCGAGAGACATGAAATGGGAAGGAGATGAAGAAGCTCGGACATTTGGTCGATGGCTGGTTCGCATTTATGGCAACCAAAGCATCCTTCACAAGAACCCAACACTACGCGCAGATCGAATAGAAAATGGTAAGCACAAATATACTAGACTTTATATCTTCAAAGTAATCTCAAATCCCATTGGCGATTAGGTTTTAAGGACTGGAGAACTGTTCGTTCTGTCAACGCCATCGCTAACGTTATGCAAAAGAAGTACGACACAGCCACCCAAGTTATGTACAGGAATGTAAGGATAAGAAACAAACAAGTTGTTTCAATCCTAAAGAGAAGCAAGTGGATGGGTATCTCAGGGTCAATTATCGCTGCCTTTAAAGCGAAACAAAAAGGTAAAACGTGTCAGGCATGCAAGAGAAAGAAAAGAAACAGGAATTGGCGAAAGGCGTCATCAGAGATCATGAATCATGACTTCGGGTCGAGGGTCTTTGGTGAGGACCTGAAATGCGCGATGAAATTGAGTTCACGCGGGAAGTCGAGCTGGACGACGATTGGGAACTTGGATTTGATTTTGTGCCATTGAGGTCATTTGCGAGTGAATTTTGATGGATTTCTTCGGGGAGAGGGAGGTCAGGCAGATGGTCGGGATTCGAGACCAGGCTGCGTGGACGGGAGAACACGCCGCCTAGAGAGGGGTTGTCTTTCTCGCGAGGCAGGGAGTCGAGGTGGGTGCGTGTTCGGCGACGGTGGCGACGGAGGTACTCATTCGGGACAGGGTCGACCTGTTTCTTCACGGCTGGGACGAGGTTGAGGTAGATAGGGAATATGGCGCCGGCAGCGAAGAGCGCCACAAGAACACAGAAGGAGTAGGATTCGCCGTTGTTTAGGTAGGCTGCGTAGTCTGCAAAGGGGAAGAATGTTCCACCGCTGATTGCCATGGTTAACATGACGGCGGCTGTCTTGGTGTGTTGGGCTGTGCCACGCAATGAGATGGCGAATATGATGCTGAAGGTACCGCTTTCAAACAGGTAGACTAGCATTGCCATGACAATTGCTGCAGAGCCATTGAGCTTCATGCAAAGGACGGCGCAGACGATCATGCCGATATAGTTAACCATCAGGATCCAGCGTGGCTTCAAGAACCATTGCGCAAAGGCAGCGAGGAAGCGACCGACGGCAAAGACACTGTGGCCGATTGTGAGGAAGTCAAAAGAGGTCAAAGAGGAATGCGGGTGTTCGGCTTCAACAAAGCGAACAAGTGTTGTTGAGAATACCTCTTGTCCGGCCACATAGAAGAATTGAGACCAAATACCCAGACCAAGAGTCAACCAAACAACCGGGATCCCAACTACCTTGGTCATGTTGTCTTTTCGGCGTTTGTTTGCCAATTCTTCCAGGTCTTTGTCCGAGGCTTCGGGGACTGGCAGATAGTAAAATGCCACTGCCAACAGCACGTCGAACAGGGCGATACCAAGATAAGCCCATTGTACATCGACCAGCGATGCAACATCACGAACATCTTTGAAGAGAACTTTCTTGGCCAAAAGCGGCGATAACACACTTCCGACAGCTTGGACACCCTGCGAAATATTAAGTCGAATTTCAGAATTCTCAAGTGGTCCACACAGTGCGATAAATGGATTCCCCGCGGTTTCCAAGACTGCCAGGCCAAATCCGACAATGAAATTCGAAAGTATAAACGCAGGTGTTGATGTTAGAACAGCAGATGGCCAGAAGATAAGGGTGCCACAGGCATAGATGCATAGACCGGTCATGAAAGTGGACTTGAACCCCCAGTGTTTCAGTACAGGTCCACCAACCAAGAGAGGACCAAGCACGTATCCACCAAAATATGCACCGTGAAGTCCCAATGAAGACCATGGCCCTAGCTGGACGATGGTCTCAAATTGAGTATTCAAGATATCAAGTAATCCATATGCGAAGCCCCAAAGGAAGAACAGAAGGGTAGTCAAGGCAATGGGCGCAATTGACTCGCGATTATTTAGCTTGAGCATACTTTCGGGTTTTTTCATGTTGACAAAGTCAAAGAACGTGATATCAGGCGGGTACGAGGCACTGGTATGGGTATTTGCTTCCGTGTCTAGCGTCACTGCAGTTTCAGGGTGGCCCAAGAAGTCCAAAATGCCAATTGGTTCATCGGAACTGCGAGAGCTACGCCGACGGGTGAAGATGCTACCATTGCGCGTTGCTTTTTCGTGGCTCCCGGTTGGGGAGGGTGATGGTAGTCCTAGATTCCCTGGCGTTGCAGCCGGCGATGGCACTGCAACAGATGCTTCTCCGTTCGCATAAGGTCCGGTTTGCGTGCCATTTGAAGTGTCATTGGTGTTCTTGATCAACTTTGGCGCAAGACGAGTCACAAGAGGCTTGAGACTTGGGACGCAACCGCAAATTATCGAGACGTTGACTTCAACCACTGACCACATGAAAGATAATGATGCATACCCTAAGACCAGTTAGCTTAATTTGATTGTGCTAAACAAAGAAGACTGGAGTCGTACAGCTGAAGTCAACCCCTCCGATGTTCTGAATATGAATCGATTTGACCTCCATGGAGCGCGAGACAGCTGCCTGCTGGAGAAAAGCAATCCGAATAACGTCGACCACGGCCACAAAGAAACCAAAGGAGAAAGTAACGACTAGGATGACCTTTTGCTTGTAGGGAAGGCGCATTTTGGTCAAAAGCGGCATCGGAAGAAAGAGAATAGCGAGGTCGGTGATGATATTCACCGGGGAAGACGAGAGGTACAGGGTGACAATGTCGGTGCAACTTGCGTTGGGCGGGACGTCGGAAAGAAACACGGCGTTGAGCGGATTACACTGGAACACATTGACAAATGTCAATGCAAGGCCCGCTGCATTCACGACTGCCAGGGTGACAAAGTTGGCCCATCGGAAGACTTTCTGGTTTCGTGTCAAGGTCAGGTAGAAGACGAGGATGGAGGTCTTGACGGCCATTAACGCCGGGTTCTGTCATTCTGTTAGCGAGGCAATCTGACAAGAAACCATTGACACCCACATAGAGCACGGTAAACGCATAGTTGGCCTTGTTAAAAGCGAGCTCATCCTCGGGTTTGATCGCATTGGAATGAAGACCGAGACCTTTCTGTACGGCGAAGAAAAGCGAGAACGAAAAACCAAAATCCAGAATCTGCAAGCTCATTAGCTTCTGAGCTAACCTTGGTGGCCCCTGAACCCTCCATTTCATTGTGACTCCATCCCCGGGATCATGCAGGGACTGGACCGAATAATCCCACATACCCATGCGACCAACATCAACCAGTCGTGCAACCCAATTTTCCTGACCACAAAGATGCGCGAAATAAAGCGAAGCACGACGAATATACTAGCGAGGACGAAGAAGGTGATTGAAACGCCCAGAGTCGCCGCGCGACGACCCTCCATGACTGCGATGTGTCCGGGTTAAGTGCGAGCCCAGGGCGTGTCCCGGCTACTGTGTGATCTCGATCGCAGGAAGCGGATAAAATGGAGCTGGCGACTTCATATCGCGCAGAAAGGCAAGCGAGTCCGGGGAGGGTGGAGGGTGGAGGGTGGAGGAATAGAGAGAGAGTCAAGGTGAAGAAGCAGAGTTCTGGAGAAGTGGAGAAAGCAAAATTTAGGGTCCGGCCGTTTTTTACCCCGGCTTTGGTCTTCGCCTATAATTGCGGTGTACTTGACCTCGACTTACACACTTACACTGCGCTTGCCTTGCTTTTGGCCCATTTCTCCCTCAACAGCAAAAAAAAAATCATCTTCTTACACCTTATCCACCCTATCCACTCTATCCACTCTACCCACCAGACCGGATTCCTGAACTCGTCGGAACTGGGGTAACTTTGAGGGACGAGGGGCATTCCTCGTATATAGGTAATCCATTGGCTCTGAAGCGCACTTTTGCCGACTCCCTCTTTACCATGGGTTGGAATACGCGTCATATCCACAGCCTTTTCTTGGGTGCGCTTCCACTACACTTCCGATGTTGGACCGGCGCGACGCAAGTGGCGCTTCGGATGTCGACCGAAACCCCGCTACAGGCTACGGGGGGTTGGGGTTGGGGTTGAGGTTGGGGGCCAATTTTACGCCTAGATGGGTTATATCACAGCTAATACGCTAATACTGGCTAGACAACATGAATATTGCATGAATAGGGAAGGGTTTATTGCGTTGCTACCACTATGCGACCGTCGCTATGGAGATGCTAAACGATCGGATATCTGATACCCCCAGACCATCTGTTCCTTGTCCCTGCATAGGAGATCGCCAGATGAGCTTGGCATCTCAGATATTCGAGGCTGATAGATCTTGCTCAAAAAAATGGGCCATGAATTCGGCATTTACGCATGGCTACAGGCCTAAGAAACGCTGGCCTCCAGAATTCCGTCTCCGAGTCTATGCGAACTTGCCAAGATATTCACGGTAAATAACTAACCCCCGAGATCAACAACAAGGCCTGCAGCGTTGCAAGCAACCGTCGCTAGTAACTTCTAGCCGCTTGGCTGCATATCTATCTACACTATAAACCCCCTGGATCATCCCCTTAGGCGGTCGATCGGCTGCTAATAAGCCCCGATGGGATGCAGTGAAGCGAAGTTATGCCTGAATACTCTCTGTCCTGAGAAGATATGGTCACAATGCAGGCATATTCGCCGGGCCGTCCCTAACACCTCACTATGTTCATCACATGGGATTATCGCGATGGAGCTCATTGCCAACTCAAATGCAAAAGTGCAAGTCCACCCCTAAGCGAGCTGCAGGTCTTTTGTTCAAATGAAGTGAATGATTTCGTTCTTGGCTGTGACTTAAATCCTGGACTTTCCTCGACGGAAGGTGCGGAGTGTTGTGACTTTCTTCCTTTGCACATTGCTGTTAAGATCCGTCAAACACACTCGAGATGAACTTCTTGCTGCTACTCTGGAGCCTTTTGGCTTTTGGCGCTTATGCCGAGACTGCAAAGGCTTCCACGGAGAGCTTCATCTCAACTATCTGGGATGACTTCAAGCACGCGGTCGATTGTGGTAGTTGTCAGGTATGATCGTCCCGGCATCTGGGGTAGTAGGCAAAGGCTTACCTGAACTATCTCCCAGGCTCTTTTGGGTGGTCTCAAGCTCGTCTCCGGGTTTGGCGAGGGCTTCATGATTGATGTCTTCATCGGCGTATGCAAGCTCAGTGGCGTATGTCATGGTTCTGAGCGCCCTTCGCTCAATGATGTTGACCAAGTCACAGGTCGAAGACCCAGATGTTTGCCGTGGCATCATCGAGAAAGAAGGCCCTGCTCTTCGTGATGCCTTTCAGAACCTGCATATCGGGTCTCACGCCACCAAGACCATGTGCGCTAGTCTGATTGGACTCTGCCAATACCCCGAGGTTCGCTCTCATACCCTCGAGTTCCCTTCAACAAAGCCGGAAACTACCAGACCACCGGCCAGTGGTAAGCCGCCAATCAAGGTTGTCCATTTCAGTGACACACATGTCGATCTCTACTACGAAACTGGAGCCAGCTACGAATGCACCAAGCCCATCTGCTGCAGGGTGTATGAAGACAAGGATGCCCCGGGGATCACAAAAACCCCATGTGGACCATTTGGAAACACCAAGTGTGACCCACCACATATCCTTCAGGAGAGCATGAATGCAGCCATTGCCAAGATCAATCCAGAATTCTCCATTTACACGGGTGACGTGGTAGCTCACGATATTTGGCTAGTTGGTCAAGCCGAAGCACTAGATGTCTTCAATGATACATACAGTCAGATGGAGAAGGACCTTGGTATGGTTTACGCTGCCATAGGAAACCATGACACGGCACCAGTCAATCTATTCCCCCCAAAACAATATTCAGGGCAAGGAAGGCGCTCAATTCGCATACAGCGCACTCGCCGAGGACTGGTACAGCCTCACCGGCATTCCCTCCGTCAATTCAGCAGATGAATTCGGATCATATTCAGCCATCCACCCAAACAGCAACCTGCGGATCATCTCATACAACAGCATCTTTTACTACAACTACAACTTCTACATGTACCAAGACCCCATGGAAAAAGACCCAAACGGACAATTCGAATGGCTCATCAAAGAGCTACAAGCCGCCGAAGATGCAGGCCAGCGTGCCTGGCTAATCTCACACATCCCACCCGGCCTCACAGATCACTTCCGCGACTACTCCCAGTACCTCGACCAAATCCTACAGCGCTACGAAGCCACCATCGCAGGTCTATTCTACGGACACACCCACATGGACGAATTCCAAATCGCCTACTCAGACTACACCACCCGCAACGCAGACACCGCAACTGCAATGGCATACATCGCCCCATCCATGACCCCAACCTCAGGCCCGCCCTCCTTCCGCGTCTACGAGATCGACCCCGTCACCTACGGCGTGCTAGACTTCACCCAATACATCGCCAACATCAGCGATCCATCCTACCAAACAAACCCCGAATGGGTCCCCTACTATTCCGCAAAAGCAGCCTACGGCGCAAAGCTCCCGACTCCTCTAACCGACCCCAAGGCAGAACTCACCCCTGCCTTCTGGCATAATGCCACCGTCGCCATGGAGAACGACCCCTCCATCTTCCAGGACTTCTGGACGCGGCGCAATCGCGGTTGGAACATTGCTGCTTGTACGGGTGATTGCATGAAAAAGGAACTCTGTATGCTTCGCGCTGCGGACGCACAGCATAACTGCCATGAGCCCGAACCGGGTCTCAACATTTCTATTAACAAACGTGACCAGGGCTCTGGGAATGCTGACTCGGAAGAGCTGGATGGGTCTGGTGGTCCTGAGTGTGACCATTCCGGCATGGGGTCGCTTTTGGGGAAGATTGCCTACCGTGCGAGACTTGTGCGTGAGGCTGAGGAGAGAGTGCTGGGTGGTGCTGGTGTTTGATTTTTGCTTCATGCTTTCGGGTTGCTAAGACGCTATGGTATTGCAAGTCGTTTGTGTTGGGCTTGGTGGTATGTTGCAGGACGTTTTCTTGATTTGATCAATATGGATAGTTTCTCATGGCCTCGTTCAAATAAATTAATTGTCAAGACCCGGTAGATCAAGCACCTATGGGACTTCTGGATCATCTGTGATAAGTCCCAATATAATTCAAAGCCAGTACTTTCACCATCATTGAGGACTCCGAGGACTGGCTTTCAAATTCCGGGCCTTTGCACTATCTCAACCCGAATCGTATATATATATACATCAATACCATCAACAGTAACAGGCAGTCGCTGGGATATATTGAGTACTAGTTATATCTTGTCACTGTCTCGAATTAGCTATCTCGTTATTTTCATATATAGTCTAAGCAATCTGAGTTTCAAACGCCTCAAGCCCATCCAGCAGTAATACCACTTAACAATACAGGCAACTCATAAAGAAATAATTCATTGACTTCACAAATCATCCACTCATCAAGCCCCAAAAGCACCCCAGACAAACCTACAAGCCCCAATAAGGTAAGTTAATCTATCTCAGTTATACGGACCTGAACCAGGTAACATACGTTACAAACAACCCCCCGTTACAAGTTATAAGGCTGAGTCCCCCTAACAACATAAATCTCCCCAATAAGAACAGCACAGCCGACAGCCATAGAAACAGCAATGATAGGCAGATTCACACGCGCAAACTCCAAACTGCCCACGCGGATATGTTTGCGCTGTAGGATATCCCGCCATAGCAGTCCGGCCAGCGAGGCGCTGAATGCAGTGCTGAAGGCGCCGAAGTTCACGCCCAGGGCCATGCTATAGACTGTTGCCCAGAAGGTCTGCTCGCTGATTGGGATGCCGTTCTTATCGTGGATTGTTTGCCAGGCTTGGATGACGCGCGAGAGGAGGATTGTTGTGCCGATGTTTGTGCCGGCGAACTATGAGGGGGGGAAGGAGAGGTTAGTTATTTCAGTGGAAGGGAGGGAGGAAGGCGGCTCAAAAACTCACATTGCATAGAATCACAGACAAAAAGCCCATCCCGCCAACCGCTCCTACGGTCCCGGTCTTGTTCACCCAGTGATCCCATCCATATGCAAAAACAGGAACCCAGCCTTTGGTGACGAGCGCCTGTACAAGTACGAACATGGCGAACGCAAAAGGAACAAGTGGGAAGGGCATGTGGGATACAACGACAGTCACTGTCGGGAAAGTCTCTTGAAGCCAGCGGTACAGATCAGCAGAGAGGGAGACCAACGTCGGCGGTCCGTCCTTCTGATACTGACCCGCCCGCTTCTCCTCATCGACCGTGTCAGTCGTATGTCGGGAGTCCAGTGGTTCGGGCGAAGAAGCCTGAGCCAATCTCTTATTATCAAGCGACGAAACACCAGGCGGCTCCAGTTCCGGGAACTTCTCCTGACCAACGAGCACCGAGACGGACAACGGTGTCTCGCGGTCCGGGCTGGAAGTCGATATCTTCGAAGCTAGACCTGTATCCGCAGCCCCGACGGAAATCTCATCATCGGTGCGCTCAGAAGTGCGCTCCGCAGTGTGTCCGTGGACACCCGACACATCCTGTTCCTGCCCTAGGATCTCGGGGGATTGAGACTCGCTCCGCTCGCGCAGGCGCTCTGCGCGAGCATTCTCGACGTCTCGCCTGCCCCGCGCGGCAATTTCGCGCGTCTCGTGGCGATGGAGCCATCCCGATGCGACATCCCAGCAGAACATGACAAAGGCCGCTGGCAATGTCACGTAGAAGACGGGTTTTTCGTTTCCGGTCTGGCTCGAGGCGTTGATTGCAAGGAGGGTGATGAGCGCCGCGGCCATGATGACGGCGCCGAAGGCTGCGCCCTTTTTGTCTAGGAATGGGTTCATGATCTCCTCCAAGGAGAGTTGCTTGCCTTCTTCGTTGTTCATGTCCTCTTCTTCTTCGGCGTTGCCTCGCGCGTGGGGAATATTCGGGTTGACTGGTTTCTTGCGTTTTTCGTCCTCAGTAAGCTCATGCATTTTGATGGAAAGTGGGATGAGGGATTCATCGGCAAAGATGATGTACAGGAGGAACGGGAAGATGACGATTGCTGTGACGACTGTGGGTACGATCATGTTTGCTGTGTAGACGATGAATTTGATCTCGAACGCGCCGGCCAGCACGAGGTTCGTCGGGTTCGACGAGACTAGGATTGCGGAGGCGATGTTTGCTATGGCAAATTGGCTGTGGATCCAGGCTCGGGGGTGGACGATGTTGCTGGAGACCCGGGTCATGTAGGCGAGGAAGGCTGTTCCGGATAGAATGATCGGGTCGTTTCCGATGAATGTGCCTAGGCCGAAGAAGAAGGCGTATAGATAGAAGAAGAGTCGGTGGCCGACTTTGCCGCCACGCTCGAGCACTTTGAATGCTAGCCATCTGATTAGACCGGAGGCATCGATTGAAATGGCAATATAGGCCAGTGTGAGGAAGAAGGCCATGATATCAATGGGCAAGATATGATTTGCGCCGAGCGTGCCATCGTGTACTTCTTGTCGACCAATCGCTTTTATCGCGAGAAGAAACAGATCTGCTATCAATGGGGCTGTGATGAAATTCAGCGGGAAGCGGAATCTCATGAAGACGCTTTTCTTCTCATTGTGACGATTCCGGCGCGGTATTATGCGTATGGCGCTGAGCGAGTCCAGAAATATGTTGTTGAGCCATCGAGGCAGGTAGATGGGGATATGAAAGGGGAACAGGACGATAATATCTGAAGACCGGTTATTCAACGTGGTTCAACGTGAACCGATCCCATGGGGGCTACTGACTCGTCACCACAAATATAATCAGGGTAATGATTGACCGCCAACTTTTGATTTTGGATGTGTCGAGATCTTCGTCCATTTTGCGCTTTGGAGTCGCTTTTGCTCTGCGGCTTCAGCTGTGCATGTACCTGGTTGTTATGAGCCAAGTCAGTCCAGTCGCGCTTCGGCGCTTCAGCCGCTCTGAGGTATGAGATCAAATACCAGGAATGCTGTAACGGAAATTTGCATATCAAGATCCGGTGGTGAAGCCTATGGCAGACCCATTTCGACCACTTTGAATTGCAGTAAATAGGCTTGAATACTGGAGAATCAAGAAATGGAGAATGTGGGGAAATGCAGAATGTCCCTCATACTCCTATCAGGTGAATTCTTTGGGGGAGAGCGGCCTCTATGAGGGTCTGCCTGGGGCTGTGAGTTCCGTGATCAAAGAGTGATTCTTGGGCTTTTTAGAGTTGTACTAGAAGGCGAAGCAGTGTTCCCTGTTCTAGCAGAGATTTCAGTGAGCCTCAATCAGAAACAGTGAGACGAGCACGAGATAAACTGATTAGCGTGGAATTAAGCCTGGGCAAGCCAAGACTTCTCCAGCGTTGACCACGGTTGAGTGATCGCAATTCAGTTCTTCCGATCTATATCATAACCTTCTTCTTTCCTGCCTCTCTCCATCTCCTTCTCTCTCTCTCTTCCCCTCTCTTGCTTTTCTCCCTCTCCTTTATCCCTCGCAGCTTTACCGCAACTTCTTAATTACTCCGCAGACTCAGCCACTGGGCGCTATGCACGCCCAAGCTTAACGTACCAATCATGAGAAAGCAGACAGTGCCCCATCTCGTATTCGCGCCCGTCGTGCTGCGCACGCCCCGGATAACCATCACGGGGGAAGCTCCCGATTCAAGGGCTATAGCTAGCATTGAGAGTGCTCCAATCCCAGAGAGACCGAGGTAGACAAATGCGAGGAATGAGGCTGTTGCTGACCAAACAACATGCTGCCCGGGTGCGCGCCCTTCTGGCCATGTTCGGGATGATCTGTTGCAGGGAATAAGACCTCTGGAGAGGCTCTTTTCTTTTCTCCTCTTTCTATCGATCTCATACCACGCCTGTAGGTCCTAACTTATCGTACGTGACAAGGCAGGACGAGTGAAACAACACCTCTTGGATATATGCCTGTTCGTGCATCGAAGCTGAAGTCGCCGTCGAGGGCGGATAACATGCAATGCCAGCGCTTCCTTCATTTGCCTCCGGCTTAGCGAACACTCTCGTGCAGCGTGCTACCCTTGCATCGCCCCCTAATGCGACGGGGATTGAGCCCGTCCTGGAGGTGGTATGCGCCTGGCCGGTGTCCGGCCAGTATGGACCGGGGACCCGTGTCTTGTATGTTCTTTGTGATATAGCAGTGTTGGGGGACAGTGACTAACACCGTGGCAGATACTATGCCTTGATTGCAGCTTGTGTGGTTGCTCGGAAGGTGGAATTTATTCGGAGTGCTTGTCTGGCTGCGGTGCTACTGTTCCCCGCGGTGGCCGCTCTACATGGGATTGTTCTAGCAGTGCTTCATATCGATGGTAGGTCTTTCGAAATGGACCTTCCCAGTGGGCCAATTGTCTAACTTCTCACAGGAGCCGTCGACATGGACGTCTATGGGGCTTTTCAACTATGTGCAATAGGCATCCTAACGGCTCCTGCCACTGTTCGTCTATCGACGACCTATTTTAACAATCCAGGTCGGAACCTGATCTTCATATGGACTGTCCTACTTCTAGCGGGGCTTCTGAGCCTAATTGTGGAATTTATGCGCCTGAAGTCCGTCGTGTGTCCAATAAATGACCAAGGAGGAATCGAGTGGGCAAGAACAAACAAGTTCCCATACGGAGAGTCCTGCGGCATGCGATGCACCCCTGACGACGGTCCAATTTCACGGCTGCGTCAGGGCTCCGCGGACAATATTTATGTCGTTCCAACTCCGTTTGAATTGACTTTTAACACAACCACCCTTCTCGCGGCGGGCTGCTGTGTCCCCGCTATATTGCAATTGGTTTCCATGTGGATTAAGATCATGGATTCCAACTGGGAGAAATTCTCTCCTGGAGAGAAGAGGAAGCCCGAGGATACTATTGATGGTACCAATGGCGCGACTCTCAGCCACATGACAGGCATTACGGAGAAGATCCGCAGCTGGTTAGCTCTCATTGAGATCCCAGTATTTGCCGCTGCCGTCTTGTTCATTATTGTCAAGGGCGAGCTGAACTTCTGGAGTAAACCGGTGTATTATCAGACAGAGCAAATAGCAAGCATAGGTAAATCACCCACTCCCGATATACCACCCCAACAGACCCAGCTATCTAACCAATTTCCAGGCCAATGGGCACCAATAGTCGGCACAGGCCTCGCAGTCTTCGGCTCTCTATACCTCCTCATCTCAGCAGACATCGACGCCGAAGAAAACGACGACCCAAACACCCCGTTCGAAACCCAATCCCAATCCCAACCCCAACCCCAACACCCCCAAATGATAATAACAACAACAACATGCGCCAAATGCCAAAGCTGCGCCCTCTCCTCCGACACAGAAACCAACGACTCCCGACGAAACTCCAGAACCACAGAACCCCAACCCCCAGACACCGACCCATCGACATCCCCCCCAAACCGAACATCCACCGTCCAAACCACCCAAACCGCCCAAACAGACCTCGGCAACCGCCGCAAAGTAGCCCGCTTCTTCAACGCCCTCAGCACAGCAATAACCACCAAAACCGCCTCCCAATCCGCCAAATCCGGCTTCACGGCCGACGAAAGAACCGCCTACCCCACCACCCCAGGCGAGAACCTCCGCAATCCCAAACTCGCCGAAGACATCAGCATCTACAACAAGTATCCGCCGTCCATGGACGGACGCTCCCGAGCCGGCAGCGTCCTAAGCGTGAGCCGCGATTCCGATACCGGTGAGGGCAACTCTCGACCGGTCTCAGTGGCACTCGCGCGCAGTCGCAGTCCCGCTCGCCATTCTTCTTTGCCGGGCCAGATGCAGCGTCCCTCGCGCGCTGTGACGAGACCGTCGCATTCCAATTCTGAGCCCGGTGCTTACTTGGGCTGTCCGCCTAGTCCGGGCTTGGTTATTAGTGAGTGGCAGATGGGGTTGTCGCCTGTTTCTGTGACGCCGGAGGGACGGAGTCGGAATGCTTCTCTTTCGGGGCGGGATGGGGATGAGCATGGTTTGGGGGGCGGGAGTCTAGCTTCGGCTTCGACTGCGGCGGCGCCGGCTGTTGCTATGTCTGGGGCGCAGCTGGTTCCTACTATTCATGTTTCTAGTCATGAGGGATCTTGATGGTTTGATTTGGTTTTTGATTTTTAGTTGGCATTGGGATTGTATGAAGTATGGATCATGAAGTATGGAGTATGGAGTATGGTATTTGGGTGTGTCAATTCCTACCACGCCGTTCACGACTTGATGACTTGTTGACTTAGGATTTTGGTTTTTTGATGATGGATGTATAGATACGTTAGCATGTGCAATAGAAACGACTTGATGAAATACGCTTCTATAAGTTAATCAATAACGATATACAGTGCCGTATTGGTGCTAGCAAGGATATTCATTTTAACAACCAACCATAACGCCAACTGTACTGTATACTCAATCCCAATTGAATCACATTAGGCCAGTACTGTAAGGTATGGCAAGGCTAGTCCATCTCCATGTACTCCGTAGTAAACGAAACAGATCGCGTCCAGAGTACGGAGTACAAGGCACTCCGTTGTCCGGTCTGCGTTTCCCTAACGAGCCCGAAATTGCACCGAGAGCGAGGCGCAGACACTGTCTCACGCATGGACCAATATTGGAATATCTTTCGCTAGTTTGGGTTTGAGTTGGCTGGTAGTTCTTTGTATTGGTGAGACTGGGTCTCAAATATGGAAAGGGGGAGCCTAATACAGGATTAACCTACTTCGTATAATTTTAGTGTGAACTACAATACACTGAGCTAGAAGTGAAACGAATTGAATTTCATTCAAAAAATATCGTATTCGTCTTGCGTACGCCGATCCATTCTCTTTTTGGAGAATTTTCGTAGCTTGAGCATGGTCATCGTAGTCATCATTGCTCTCCGGCGCAATGCAAGGAACGAGATCTCGTCAAGAGGTCGATCGAACTTTGGTTTGCCAGCATGCGCGATGGTAAGCATTTTTGTCTTTTATGGTCGAATGGGTGGTCCATCTGTGGTATTGAACAAGAGAGGTCCGAAGATACTCTGAAATGAAGAAATTCTATCAACAGGAAGGTGAAGGGCAAATGTGAATGGGAATCGTAAGGCGACCCACTAGGGGCGCGCACATGGCAGAAGTGGATAAAAGCGAGTGAAAGAAGGTTAAGAATAGGGCCGCAGACTCCAAGAGAGTGATCGAAGGCTGGGAAAGAAGTGTAAAAAAAAAAACAAAACAAAACATCAAAAGTGAACCATGAATCAGAAGCAAAGCAAAGAGTCATCAAGACCGATTTCGCTTGTCCCATCTACCAGAGATGTACCCATCATTGTCATTGCGCGATGGAAGCTGCGCTTAGTTGATGTACCACTTGACACCGGAGACACGGCCAGCGCCCATGGAGGCGAGCTCACCGAAGAGGTGGCGGGACAGATCAATGGAGCCGTCGTCGCAGCCCATGCACTTGTCAACAACGGTACCGGTGGCAGTGACACCGTTGTACTCGATGGTGACGGACTTGCCACAGTCACCATCCTTCATGATACCGACGGGCAGGGCCAAAACGTTCTCGGTGGTGCCGTCGTTGGTGGTGCCGCAAGAGCTGGGGTTGGTGGAGAGGGTGGCAGTGTCATAGTAGGTGATGTCACCGTCGCAAGGAGAGCCGGAGGAGCAGGCGCCGGTGTAACCGGTGCTGACAGTGGCCTCGACGTTAGCAGAGCGAGTGTTGGCGGCGACAGTGCTAGAAGTGGTGGAAGAGGTGGTGGGCTCCGCGACAGGGGCAGGGGCGGCAGTGGTAGTCTCGGGCTCCTGGGTGGTGGCAGGGGCAGGGGCCGCAGAGGTGGTCTCAGCCTGCTCAGTAGTAGCGGGGGCAGGGGCGGGAGCAACGGTCGAGCTGGTGGTGACAGCCTGCTCAGTGGGAGCGGGAGCAACAGTCGAGCTGGTGGTGGTAGTAGGCGCAGCCTTCTCCTCGACAACAGCCTCGGTGGTAGGGACGGCGGCGGCGCTCACGGGAACAATGGTGGCAGTGGTGGTGGGAGCCTGGCCGGGGAAGAGAGTAGTAGTGACATCGACGGTGGTCCAGACGACATCAGTAACAGTCTCCCAAACAACAGCGCGCTTGGCGACAGGAGCGGAATAACCGGTCAGAGCAAAGAAAGCGCCAGCGAGGGCGAGAGTCTTGGTGATAGGGGCCATTGTGTATTTTTTTTTAATTGAAAAAAATGAAGGGATTTGAATCTCAAAGGAGTGGATTTCAAATGACTGCACAGCAGTATGTTTCGACGAACTCAAAAGGAGTGTTGAGTTGAAGAGAAGGAGAGAATTGACCGTTGAGGCGTGTGGAGGAGAAGAAAGGAGAGGAAGAGGAAGTTAACTTATATATGAGATCGACCACCCTGAGCCAGACCCACTTCCGCCATCTTCCTTTCTTCCCTCACTTTGACCTCCACACGACTTCCACACTTCCACATTACCCTCAGTATTACGAAGACATGCATCTTCCATGCTACGTCCATTTGATACCCGATCCCGGAATTCCAGGAGCCTGATTCAAACCTGTACAACAATTGTGTGCTGTTCCTGGCGCTAATGTGATCGAGCCTAGGGCCCACAGTCGCCCCCCCGGTACCTGGCAGCCCCAAGCCACAACGCTGACGGGGATAAAAATCTCTGAAACTCTGAAGGATACCATATCCGCCGTAATGAGTTCCCTGGTTCCTAACCTAAGACCCAGTCCTTGATTTCGTCCTTTCACCCTTCTAATGACGTTCCCAGGCTCTACCCCAGAGACCAAGGACTGATCAGAATCTGCAGTGCCAAATGTGATTGGTGTGCGCCTGTACCTGTAAGACAGGCCGTCCAAGCCAATCCGCGCTCCGAGGCAGCGGACCTGGCGGATTCGCCCTCCACTATAACGGTCTGGCCTTTCAGCCATTTTTGAGTGGGAAATAGTGCCGATCTGTCATGGAATTGTCAAATCATACAACACAGTTCGACTCTACGAACCTACCATGAGTCAATCGTCAATTGTCAATCTTTTCCAACCGAAATCCCACAAACACCCTCTCCAGTATCTACAAACACCCCCCTAGCTACATCCCCCCAACCCCCTAGCCCTACCCAACGCAGGGCACAAACAGTAGCATCCAAACCGTCCCACTTCACATGAACATCCACATCCCCCCAGCACTGACCCCCCCAACCCGATCCCGATGTGCAGGAAAGTACGCACAACCTTCCAAACAATTCCAGAAAGTAATCAATCCCACTCCACAGCAAAGTACCATCTACATTGCCTGCAGACCATATTCTAGACCCATCCAGCCGAGAAGGAAAGACCCTGTCGCACCAATAGGGCCGGAGACATGGTACAGACACGTCAAGAATCTGGTTAGGATCCATATTGAACGCCTCTGTCCAGACTTTTTTGCTCCACTTGTGGCCGATCAGCTTGTGGGATGGATATGGGTGGGGGGCACGGTGGGATGGGATAATGTTAGGTTGGGTTAGGTTAGATTAAATAATGTAGTGTACTCGACTCTCTGTGGTATATCGGTTTTGTCGGGGAGGCTGTCTTGGAGATGTACTGTAGGGCCTAGGCTTGATGGCGTGTTATAACTGGCCGTACGGGTACCTGAGACACATTTAGTGACTGGGTTAGTGGCTTACCTGTACCTGTAAGATGTACTGTAAGATGTGGCTTCGGCGCCAAGGTACACGATATAATATGCAGTAGCAGAAGACGAGGGATCTAGCTCCTCCCGAGGACATCCGACATCCGACATCCTCACCAAAGAGTGCGTATACGATGCTTGGCCTGCAGAAGAGAAACCGAAGAAAAGTTTCTGCAAACCAGTCATTCCTCCTCACCAACAAGGAAGAAAGAAACCCAACCCGAAGTATCCGGCCAGAGAGTGTGGAAATGCAACATCAAGAAAGAAAAACCCCGATCCTCGTGGCGAGACACAGAAAAAGTCTACCAGGTAAAGTTACTAAAAAAGAGACGGGATGAAATCTGTGGCTTGAGGACGTCTCCATCGAACCAGATCTCAAACAAACGGGAAGTGTCTGAGAGGTGTTTCATTGAATGAGATGGGATTTGCTTTTTGCGGGGAATAAAAGATTGGATGGACCGGATTCTATTTTGTGGACTTGTTCTTTTGGCATTTTGCCTTTTGCCTTTTGTCTGGGTCTTTTCAGATCGCCGGATGGGGAAATGCCGTTTGGTCGGTGGCGCTTTGTTGGGGGTCGGGTTGGGGGTGGTTAGGGTTGGGAGTTGAGGTGGGAGTGTTGGAAGTGGTCTGTTTGAGCAAATGTATGATGGAGGGGGAAGTCAAGATAGCTGCAGAGTCGTAAGCGACGTTTACATTGGGGATGCTCTATAGGAACTCTCCAGTGTGCGCTACGACAATATAATATGGAGGAAGAATAATAGTGATTAACATAACACGTTGGTGAACTGATACTAGGAAAGTACAAAAATCATGTCGAAACTGCGCCAAACACACAAACAAAGGAAATAAAGTCCATCAATCTCATAATATAGGTACACGTGAGAAGCCAGCAGAACACATTACCATGGAGAACCGCCAACAGCCTAAAAGCAATTAACTTATTAGAAAGCACGTTTAACCCTGGCACATGATGCAGGCATCCTTGTTCTCGATGCTGCACTGGAGGACAGCATCAGAGAAGATATCGCCCTCACGGGCCTCGCTCTCGTCGGCGGCATCCTCGGGCTGAGCGTCAGCGTCGGCGGCAGGGAGGGGAGACTCGCGGGACGAAGCAGCCACGGGATCAGCGACCAGAGTGCGCGGGCTCTCCTCAGGGACGACAACATTAGCAGTAGCCTGCTGAGTGCCGCTGGACCGGGGGACAGCAGAGTATCCGGCGCCAGCGGCACCGGTGGGGCGCTTCTTGGAGCGGGCGATGTTGGTGTCCTCGACCTTGAGCTGCTCCTGGTCGACAGTGAACTGAATAGGAGCAGAGGCGGCCATGGTGCGCAGGTAGTACATGCCGGTCTTCAGACCCATCTTCCAGCCGGCGAAGTGCATGGAGGTGAGCTTGCCCATGGTGGGCTCCTTCAAGTGGATGTTCAGGGACTGAGACTGGTCGATGAAGGCACCGCGGTCAGCGGCCATCTGCAAGATGTTACGCTGGGAGATTTCCCAGACGGTCTTGTAGAGAGCCTTGATGTCGGCGGGGATGTTGGGGATGTTCTGGACGGAACCACCGTCGGCGATGATGCGGTTCTTCATGTTGTCGGACCAGAGGCCGAGGTCGACCAGGTCCTTCAGAAGCCAGGGGTTGACGATCTGGAACTCACCAGCCAGGACACGGCGGGAGTAGATGTTCGAGGTGTAGGGCTCGAAGCACTCGTTGAAACCAAGAATCTGGCTGGTAGAGGCAGTAGGCATGGGAGCGACCAGCAAACTGTTGCGGACACCAGTTTCGGCGATCTTGGCCTTCAGAGAAGCCCAGTCCCAGAGGTCAGTAGGAGTGCGGTCCCACATGTCGTATTGGAGGATGCCCTGCGACACAGGGGAGCCGGGGTAGGTCTCGTAAGGACCAAGCTGCTTGGCCAGGTCAGAAGAGGCAGTGAGAGCAGCGTGGTAAATGGTCTCGAAGATCTGGATGTTCAGCTGTCTGGCCTCGGGGGAGTCGAAGGGCAGACGCAGAGCCAGGAAGGCATCGGCGAGACCGTTGACACCAAGGGCAATGGGACGATGACGGAAGTTGCTCTTCTTGGCCTCGGGAACGGGGTAGTAGTTGATGTCGATGATCTTGTTCAAGTTGCGAACGACAACCTGAACAACCTCGTGAAGCTTGCCGAAGTCGTACTCGCCACGGGCAGCATCAACGAAAGTAGGAAGGGCAAGAGAAGCCAAGTTACAAACAGCAACCTCATCGGGAGCGCAGTACTCGATGATCTCAGTGCACAAGTTGGAGCTGCGAATAGTTCCCAGGTTCTTCTGGTTGGACTTCTTGTTGCAAGCATCCTTGTACAGCATGAAGGGGTTACCAGTCTCAGTCTGGGCCTCAAGAATGGCATACCAGAGCTTCTGAGCCTTGATGGTCTTGCGGCCACGGCCCTCCTTCTCATACTTCTCGTAGAGAGCCTCGAACTCATCACCGTAGATATCAGCGAGACCAGGAGCCTCGTTGGGATCGAAGAGAGTCCAGTCACCATTAGACTCAACACGCTTCATGAACAAATCGGGGGTCCAGAGAGCGTAGAAGAGATCACGGGCACGAACTTCCTCCTTACCGTGGTTCTTACGGAGATCGAGGAACTCGAAGACATCCGCATGCCATGGCTCCAGGTAGATGGCAAACGCACCAGGGCGCTTGTTACCACCCTGGTCAACGTAGCGGGCAGTGTTGTTGAACACACGGAGCATAGGAACAATACCGTTGGAGGAGCCGTTGGTTCCAGCAATGTACGAACCGGTGGCACGGATACGGTGAACGTTCAATCCAATACCACCAGCAGTCTTGGAAATCATAGCACAGGTCTTGAGGGTGTCATAGATACCCTCGATGCTGTCTGCGGACATGTCCACCAAGAAGCAAGAAGCAAGCTGGGGCTGGGGAGTGGCGGCGTTGAAGAGGGTAGGGGAGGCGTGGGTGAAGAACTTTTGGGACATCAAGTGGTAGGTCTCAATGGCCTTCTCGATATCGTCTCCGTGGATACCGACAGCAACACGCATCAGCAAGTGCTGGGGACGCTCGGCAACATTACCATCGATACGGAGAAGATATGAGCGCTCCAGGGTCTTGAAGCCGAAGTAGTTGTAGTTGAAGTCCCGGTCGTAGACAATGGCCGAGTTAAGCTCCTCGGCGTGCTTCATAACAATTTCATAGTGCTCCTGGGAAATCATAGGAGCAGGCTTATTGTTCTTGGGGTTGACATAGTGATAGAGGTCGGAAATGACCATGGAGAATTGCTTTTTTGTCTGCTTGTGGAGGTTGGAAACGGCGATACGGGCAGCCAGGATGGCGTAGTCGGGGTGTGTGACGGTCATGTAGGCGGCAGTCTCGGCAGCCTGAAGACACAATTAGCATCTTTTCACAAGTCGACACGGGAGGGAAAAAAAACATACCAAGTTATCAAGCTCGATGGTGCCAACACCCTGGTAGACACCGGAGATAACCTTTTGGGTGATAGCAGCTGCATCGACGTGCTCGGGGTCGAGGCCATAACAAAGCCTTGAGACACGAGCAGTGATCTTATCGAACTGCACGCGTTCCTTGCGGCCATCTATGGGAGTGAATCGCGTTAAAACTTGATCAAAGGAGTGTGGCAAAAGGGATCACTGCCACGAGGTGCAGAGCTGGAAGTCCGCCCTCGCTGCAAAAACCCCCGCCAAGTATCAGACTCGTGAACTCACCTCTCTTGTAGACGAACATCTTGGGGGGAGGTGAGGTAGTAGGGGGCTAGAAAGAGGAGAAGAGGAATAGAATGGGGGTATCAAGTTCAAGAGCAGAGGTATTCAGGGCTAGAAAAAGAGTTGAATGTGAAGCCCGTCGAGGGTAGAGGGGTGTGAGAAGAAGAAGAGACCAGAGGGGCAGAGGATTCTTTGGTTGCCGAGTGGACGCGTTGCCCAGGACCTTCGCGTCCGCGTTTTTTCGGCTTACCAAGAGGGTTCCACTCTCTCGTTATTTCCGTACAAAGCCCCGATTCTGCCACGCAGAATTACCTCCAATCTTACCACATCAGGTTAGTGTGTCTGTGCAAGCACTGCTAGCGTGATTGAGCCACGACTAAGGAAGAAGGCGGTGTGGTGAGTCAAAGGGCGGTGAACTCTTTGGTTGTCCCAAACTGCACGCGAAACAGTCACGTGAACACGCGTCCGCATGGGGCCGGAGAGGATGTCGCCGAACGGCTTGAAGCATTCCGAGCTCAGTTCATTTTTGAATGCCATTGCTTGTTAGACTTTGGATTCATGTTTCTATCTCCTGGTCAACATCCTGGAGGCCTGTTCTCAACCCTTACTGCAGATGTGATGGATCTACAATGCTTCTGACAAGGGGCCAAGGGATATCCTTGTGACAAAGAGGTGTTGACCATCTTGTCGGTCTGTAGGATATATGGCCCACTTTTATCTTAGTTCAACTGGAGAATACACCTTATAGAAGTAGATCGCTGGAAGGTTATGAGTTGCGTGGTTGGATTGAACAGAGCATGAGCTTTCCAATTGAACACAATCGAGTCTACCGGTCCTGAGCGATTGGTGAAGCAGTCTCAAAACGATGTCTATCTATAGAACACATGGTACTGGCTGTTCTCCCCCGAGCTTGTCAATTGGGAGTCCTGATGTGGGCGGTCAGAGTCCTGTGCGAACGTAATGAACTATCGCACCTGGCAGAGCGAATGTCCACACGTAACAGAGCTGGATGCTACCCTTTCAGAGCCCTGGCAGTTCAATTTTCAAATACAGCACTCATCAGTTCACTACTTGGACATCTCTGTCATACAATTGAAAATACTTCATAACAAGCGAGAATAACTGGAAACCGAAATTAATGTCAGGTGGATATTGATACGGCATAAGCAAGACATATTAATATGCCCAAACCAGATTCCCAATCAAAGATGAATCAAAGCAGATCAAAGGCAACACATCAAGGCTATTATCTATGTTCACATCGATATTCGCATTGCAGTGCCATCAAGTGATATAGCATACTCACAGCAGAGCAGCAGCACCGAGGAAGATCGCAGCGGCAAAGGTAGTCGCAGAGAACTGGCGGTCAGAGGAAGCAGCGTTGAAGGTCGAGGTAGGGCTGGAGGCGCTACCAGACCCGGAGCTGGAAGAGCCAGCACCACCAGCGCTAGTGCCAGATCCAGTGCCAGTAGCAGCGGCAGAGGAACCGGAGCCAGTGCTGGAGCCGGAGCCAGTGGCAGCAGCGCCGCTGGAAGAAGCAGCAGTGACGAAGCCGGAGGCAGAAGCGGAAGCGTTGCCAGAGGTAGCGGTGGAGGAAGGAGAGGTCTCAGCTGTGGGGCGGGAGGAGCGATCAGTAAATATTCTCCATGGGGTGATCTAACATGCGCGGGTATGTTTTGTTGTTGTCAATCCTTACCAACTTTGTGGCCGAGCTGGGCGCAGTTGCTGACGAAGAACTTCAGGGCGGCATCGCTGTCAGAGCACTTGTCGGCGATGTCAGACTGGATGCTGGAGGCATTCTTGCCGCAAATGGCCTTGCTATCGGCTGGGTTGTCCTGATGACTGGAATTCGGTTAGCCAGGAGGTCCACGCCAAGCGATTGACATTCCTGAGATCCCTTCCATTCCTTCGATGTACTTACCCGATGATCTTGAGGACACAGGCTGGGGTCTGCGGGGTGGTCGTGCCAGCGGCCACGATGTTGGTCAGGGCCATGACGGCCACAGCGAAGATGGACTTGTTGAAGATCATATTGGCGATTGAGGGATGAAAGAGTGTAAGGTCAAGATCGCACAGCGAGTCTGAAACGAGAGTAAAGAGTGTGGTGCTAAAGAGCGACTGGTAGATAGAGAATGAAGGACAAAGAGTGACGACGTCGAAGGATAAGGAAGGGGAAATCAGTTTGCATCGCAGCCATGGTCCGGTAGGACAGGGTCTGTAATGTTACACCAAGGACCCTGACTGAAAAGTATCTTTAGTGTTTGTAGTGAACCTTATGGGTACATGACAGTACAAGTACCAATAGTACAAGCGGTATTGTGTTTCCCCCAGGCTTGTTACACTTTATCCCATTGGGGTTAGCGTCAGGGACTCCCCAGATGAGCCTTTTCGACACACTTCAATAGTCACTCAATGGCTGACCGTTACATCAACGAGGAAATGAGAAGCTGTGTAAGTGCGACATTGACAGGGTGGTATCCTTCATCTTCACAACCATGCTCTATCTATAACTTTTGAAATTATTCGAACTCTTATCACAGCGGTACAACTCTACACAAGATTACCATTCGTGTCCCATGGTACTGACAACCTCACATAAACAACACTGGAACACATGTCCGGATGTATCAACCCGAATGGCGTCCATGGATTCTATCGTATGGTCGAAACTCCAAGTCGAAGTCCAATATCAAAATAGCATAACCTTATTACATGTCGACAAATCAGCATTTCACGTCATTTTATAGATACCTATTTGGGTATCAATCCCATCTGTCCATATATTCATTCCCATAAAGACATCAATCCCAACGCATAAAGAGTATAACCCATGATCATAATCCCTCCCAAACCGGATCAAAAATACTAACAACAACCTCCTGAACCGGCAACCTCCCATCAACAATCTCCTGCCCATTAACCAAATCATTCTCTCGGGCCCTCTTATCGGCATCAGCCTCATCCTTCGCAATTCCTGCCTTAACATGCCTCTTTATTAACCTCTTCCTAGCAACCTCAAAGTCAACGTCCACAAACCAAAGCTCATCCATAAGCCCCGCCGCCACATTCCACGGCGAAACATCCAAACTCAAATAGTTACCCTCAAAAAATAACACCCGGCTCGTCGCCGGAATCGCAATATCATCATCTACGGGATCCTTAACCGCATGGTCAAAACTAGGCGCGTGCAGATCCGGCGTTGTGCTCGTAATTGGTTCCCGCAATGCCCGCACGAGTGTGAGGAACTTGTCGCCGTCGAAGGTGAATGCGGCGCCGCGTCGTGCGGCGGCGTATGTGGGGTCTGGCATTGCTGCTAGCTGGGCGCGCGTGAGGTGGTATCCGTCCATGGGGATTGCATTGGCGATTGCGGGTGCCGTGGGGTTTTCGGAGGCGTGGATTTTGTTGATTCGGGCTGCCATTGTATTTGCTAGACCGGTTTTGCCGGATCCTGGAATTCCGCTTACTGCTATCATGAGGCGTGCGTTATCTGGTGTTGAGCAGAATTTTGCTGGTGGGGGTTGTTAGCATCGGGCTGTGGATGGGCGTGGGTGCGATTGGCGGAGGAGAGGGAATGGGGGTTTGAGGTGGTCGTTTGAGGTGGTCTTCTGGGGGGACATGTGGGAGGGAGGTATCTGGTATGCCTCGTTTGTGCTTCTTTGTGCTTCTTCTTTCTTCGGGAATCGGCAGGTCGTTTACTTACCCCAGGCCTTGTTGACCAGGTGGTCTACCTGATGATCCATGGTTGCTGGATGTGGTATGTAGATGGCGAGATAGAGTCGCAAATGGGTGTATATGTGACAATGGAGGCTAGTAGCTTCGGGGTGAGAGGATTGTCCTGGTCGCTTGGATTGGCCCGAGGTGTTGAAGGTTGCGCAGGATGTGACACAGGGTGTCTCGGTGTTGCAGAATGCTTCAGTTGCAATTGCTATGTAGTGGATGTGACAACAGATGCTGAGTATGAGTGTAGTCAAGATGTCAGAGTTGTTGAAGTATGCAAGCTGCCCAGTTTGGTCATTTCTCAGCTATCATGGCGGGGTCTCCAGGACGGAGTGGGGACTGCTGTACTCCGGAGATACGTCACCGGATATGTTATGCGTATTCCACTTCATGTCGCTCCTGAGAAGATATCAACAGAAGGATGTAAGATGGCTGTGTGATCTCAGTATATTCAGCGACGCGTCGGCATGTGAAAGTCACGTTTCGACTTGCCGGATAGAGAAGATGTGATCGTCTTCTAACTTATCCAATTCACCCGCCTTTCGACAGAATGTCTATATCCCGATATCACAGTCCCCGAATAATCCTACGTCCTAATAAAGCCTGTCTAGCAGTACGTAGACGAGGAGTTGTATTCCAGCGCAAACGTTAGGAGTTTATTTTGTCCGACAGACGATTATGGAAAATACATCACAAGTATACCAATACAAGAAATTGAATCGCTGAGACAACGCCGCCCTTGCCAGGTCAATAACAAAGACCAAGCTTGGTGCTGCAACCTGTGCAGCAACCCCGAAAAACAAAAGAAGAAAACAACATTCGGCTCCAGTGGTGAGTCCCCAATTCATACAAACGCCCCGTGATCGAAACTAACACAATTAATCTCCAATGTAGTTCAATCCTTAAATAAACGCCGTCGCCAGTATCAAATGTCATGTCATGTTATGTGAAGAATAGTGCTCACAGGTCACCTCGAGGGGGCTGAGAAGCGCCTTCATTGTCCGTCGAGTCCATGCTCGCGCTGAGACCTCGATCAAGTGTTCGTGCGAGGCCCGCGGCCGCCCACCAGTCGTCTGGAATATCTTCCCGACGTGCAAGTCGATCCAGGATAGCCTGCATCTGTTGGAGATCGTCATTATTGTGGTCGGTAATTGAAAGTTGAATAGTAGGAACGGGAGGGTGGCTGCTCTGGGTCGAGCGGATATCTGGGAAACGCTGGAGCGTGAGGGGCATAATGGGCTGAATGAACCGGCGGTAATTTACAGGTGTATCCTCGTCCTCCGAAGAAGAAAAGTCACAAGGATTGAGATGATCAGGGTAAGGGTCGAGCGCGGCGCCGCGGGAAGAGCTCAACGAAGAAGGTAAAGTGGAATTGGCAGAGGCACGAGTAGTTCCAGTGCGAGCAACATCGGGCGCAGAGGCGGAGCTTGAGGCAAAAGAGGTGTCATTGGAAGGTAGAGTGACATCAGGTGTCATCGTTGAGAGCAAAGTTTCCCACACGATAGCATCACGATCTCCATCGGGGCTAGGGCTGCGTTGCCGATCTCCAAGTCCATCCATCGCCGCGTCTCGGTGCAGTGTAGTTGGATGAGCTGCGTTCCGATTAATGCGAAGGAGGTTCGACGGCATAAAAAAGGAAGGCTCATCACTGGGGCTGTCGGCGCGACGCAGAGGCGGAAGTCGCATACCGTCCGAAGAGGGGGTCGAGGAGCCGTGGGTGTGATATGCTGCAGCAGGAGCAAAATTCGGTGTGAATGAAGGGCTACCGTTGCGATAGCTCGAGGGCTGAAGGCCAGGGCGAGCAAGCAGGTTAGTTAAGGCTTGACTTTCGCGCAGGGATTGGTCGGCCCGTTGGCGTTGACTCGGACGCGAGGAAGGGCCCCTGCTGAAGGCCTCACGTTGAGCCTGAGCCAGCGTCATTCCATCCTCACTCATCCCATTGTTCTGCACAGGAGATCGCCGGGGGAGATCACTACCGCGTCGGAGCTCATCGATGATCTGCGACTGGAACGAAGCCATGACATTTCGGCGCGCACGAGAGATACCGTGGCGCGACAAGCCTCGACGGCCGATAGACGAACGCGCAGCAGCAGTGCGGTCCTTCTCCACAGCAGACTTATGTACATCGGCCTTGGAAGGCTCACGCCACATCCTACATGAAAGTCAGTCATAGGTCGCGCATGTAACAATGTCGCGCAAGCTAAGCAAGTTCACTTACGGGATGCCCATTTTGTAAAAAAAACACAGAGAGAAACGAGTGAATAAGAAAGATGGCTAAACGCGACTTGTAGATAACAGTGGGGATAGAATGGAGAACGGGGGAGATTGGGGAATTTTTTGCCAGCCTCAGGCCGGAAGTGGCTGGAAGGTCACGTGCACCTCCGCGGTCATCTCCGGCCACCGTCCCCGCTACTATGAACATTCAGCTTAAGCTCCCCACGCCCACGATGAAGCCTTGAAGCTACACGACAACAGTCTATTGCACCCCTATGATGACAATTGATCTTAAACTGCTCACCACAATACAATAAGTACCGGGATGATTGAATTGGGATTGAGTCGGGTTGCGAGTCTGCTTCAGCAGACCCCGCTTACATGGAAGGCCATTCACATTGCTGGAACCAACGGTAAAGGCTCTATAAGTGCCTACCTATCCCATTTGCTGTCTACTGGAGATGTTCGTTGCGGACGTTTCACTTCCCCACATTTGATCGATCGGTGGGACTGCATCACCATCGGCGAGAAGGTGGTTCAGGAGTCTCTCTTTCGACAGATTGAAGACCAGGTCAAACAACGAGATCAATCCCTAGGTATCGGCGCCTCCGAATTCGAACTTTTGACCGCAACCGCCTTTGAGATATTCAACCATGAGCGAGTGGAGGTCGGAGTCGTGGAGGTGGGCATGGGAGGCCGCCTAGATGCAACAAATGTTCTGACTGATGTTCTTGTGTCAGTCATCACAAAGATTGGGATGGATCATCAAGCGTTTTTGGGTTCTACAATTGAAGAAATCGCCCGTGAAAAGGCGGGTATCCTCAAGCCTGGCGTACCTTGTGTGGTAGACAACACAAACACCCGGGAGGTGATTGAGACGGTCAAAGGTCGAATCCAAGAACTTGGTATTCCGTCATCTTTTGTCTCTCCCTCGCAAGTTTCCGAACAACTTCCGCCACTTGCATCTTTGTTCAAGACGCTTGACTTGGAGCCTCACCAACAAGAAAACATGTGCTGCGCAGTATCCGCCTTGCGCCTGGCCCTGTCTCAACTCCGACCTGAAAAAGATGTCTTTTCATTGCTCCCACATCTCGCCGACGTGACTTGGCCAGGTCGTTTGCAAAACATCATCCTTCAACCCTTGGTCGACCGCGCAGAGCATATCCTACTCGACGGTGCTCATAATGCACAGTCTGCCGAAGTTTTGGGCAAATATGTGGATCGCAAGATGCGTTCCAATGGAAAGCCAGTCACTTGGGTTGTTGCTGCATCCAGTGGGAAAGACTTAGCTGGAGTATTCGGCTCCATCATCCGCCCTGGGGATCGTGTCGCAACAGCCGAGTTTGGCCCTGTGGATGGAATGCCATGGGTGACTTCAACAAATGCCCAAGAACTTGCTTCATCAATTCAAGCCATCCAAAATATTGGCCGAGTCCAGAGCTTCGAGGGTGATCTACTCCCTGCTCTCCAATGGGCTAGTCAAGAGGCTCAGGGCGAGTCTCTTGTCATTGCTGGTAGCTTATACCTTGTCTCCGATGTGCTGCGTCTTCTCAGAGAGGCACAGAAATGATACCCTGTATAAATCGCTTTATAGATCGCGTTGAACTTCAACATGGTTGATCCATGTTGATTGTAAATAATAGTCAATATAACCAAAACAAACCGTTTTTGGGCCTTTCTGTTTCTGAAAACTCCATTTTGAATAGACTACATATCCCATATTATGCCTCAGTCACAGACATTAGAAAATAATTATAAATTCCCCGTCAAACTTGTTACCGTAGGGCTGATCGGCGATTGTCCAGCACAGCCTGCATGATGCGGGTGGAGAAAGTTCAAAACAACCACAATTTCTTTGCAATCAACCCCTTCACGCCCTGTCGCAGCCATTTCGAGATCGTCGGTCACTGGAAATCGTCCAGATCATTTATTTCCCTTGAAAATTTCACATGCGCCTCGATTTGCTGTGGAAACAGCTCTCTAGAGCGTGGAGCTGAATCCCTCCTGTAATGCCCGTCTGGTGAGACCATCCTCCCAACACTTTCAGAACAAATGCTTTTCCCTCTTATTCATGATCTGGCAAATGCTTCAGATAAATTAACACACCTTGACTAGATCCTGCGGACATGACCTCTGAGACTGTTGCTATCAGCTCTTGCCTCCTTCCTAGCTTCCACCCCACCCTCCTCTACCTGAAACCTCATCCTGAGACCAACAGCTCGACCAAACAACTACAGGCATAGGCTTGAACCTGGTCCGAGCTACAATGGTCTCACGGTCTGCTGAAGGGGGCGAGGGGCAAAGTCGCCCTCTCACCCCCTCCTCCAGAACGCCCGGAACCCCGATAAAGCCGCGATTGACACGAGTCGGAACAAGTCCGTCGAAGCAAGAGAAAACCAAGGATGATAAAGTCAAGTCGTCGGCGAAAGATGTTGCGGAGCTTCAAGATTACGTATGGATATACCTTCAATATGGGGTTGACCGCATGCTGACTGGGTTTACAGCAATTGGGCGACTGTCTAGGCAAAGGTGCTTTTGGTTCAGTCTACCGCGCACTGAATTGGAACACTGGGGAGACTGTCGCTGTCAAGCAAATCAAGTTGACCGATCTCCCCAAGAGTGAATTGCGCGTTATCATGGTATGTGATATGCTTATCCTTCGGCGATTTGATATGGCTAACGCGCGGTATAACAGCTTGAGATTGACCTTTTGAAAAATTTGGATGTGAGACACTTCCGATGAAATCTCTGATGACCACTTGCTGATCTATAGAATCGCAGCATCCAAATATTGTCAAGTACCATGGCTTCGTGAAGTCTGCTGAAACCCTAAACATCATTTTGGAGTGCGTTTCTCCTAGTTCCATGGTCATTGAACTGCAAGTCTAACATTGACAGGTATTGCGAAAATGGTTCCTTACATTCGATTGCGAAGAACTTTGGTCGATTCCCGGAGAATCTTGTTGGTCTCTACATGTCCCAAGTTCTCCATGGTCTGCTGTACCTGCACGAACAGGGTGTCATTCACCGAGATATAAAGGGTGCCAACATCTTGACCACAAAAGAGGGTCTTGTCAAGCTTGCAGACTTCGGTGTCGCGAGTCGTACCACAGGTTTGAGTGAGTCGAGTGTGGTTGGTACTCCGTATTGGATGGCCCCTGAGGTCATTGAATTGTCCGGTGCAACAACGGCTTCAGATATTTGGAGTCTGGGGTGCACCGTCATTGAACTCCTCGAAGGAAAGCCACCGTATCATAATATGCAACCTATGCCAGCACTGTTTCGTATCGTGAACGATGACCACCCTCCCTTCTCGCAGGGTGCTTCGCCGGTATGTGATTTCCATTATCGAGACTTTTTTTGGTATTGACATCATTTAGGCTGTGAAAGATTTCCTTATGCAATGCTTCCAAAAGGATCCTAATCTCCGTGTCTCAGCACGAAAGTTACTCAAACACCCATGGATTGTCAATGCCCGCAGATCAGATTCAGTGGTCCCCAAGAAATCAACAGAATATGAAGAGGCTGTCAAAAGCGTTCAGGAATGGAACGAAGCTTTGAGGTCACCCGAAACTGTGACTTCTAGAAAGACGCAAAAGCCCGATTACCAACATCCTTCCGCCATTCCATCGTCTCGAAATACTCAATTAGTAGATACTCTACCATCACCGACCTCCATCAAAACTACAGATAGATTCCGCTCGCCGGAGTCTGCAGAGGATGACAACTGGGATGATGATTTTGCGACGGCAATCTCTCCCAGTGCACTGAAGTTGCCTCATCTACGCCCACACGATAACTTTGGAGGCATGCTCTCTTCTGAGAGATTGAAAGCCTTTGCCTCTCTTGATGGGACGATACTTAGATCTGATGACAGTTTCGAGGAAGAAAACTCGGGATTCTCGGACAATGATGCCCTCCAGACAATTCGACCATATCCTACTAAGCCAGCCGCGCCTGAGCCATTGAAATCTCCAAGTCCTACGCGTCGCCAATCCTCCAATCCTCCAGTGTCTGCTTTGCAAAATGTCCCTATTCTCACTCAAAACCCCATGCCCAGACGGGCTCGTCCGGCTGCTCTCTATAAGGAGAACTCTGTCGAGGACTATAGTGATCTGATCATGGCAAATGAAGATGTGCTAGATCGGAAATTGGGAGGTTACCAGGTGCGCGATTCATTTCCTAAGAATTTTTGACTTTTTTAACACGCTTTAGGACTTCGAGGATGATCCATCTTCCCCTATCCATGAGAATGTTGGATATAATCCCCCTGATGATGAGTTTAGCGGTGCACACCCCCAGCTGCGGAAACAGCTTTCTGTGAAGCGAGACCGTTCTACTATTGAAATTCAAAGGTTTGCCGAAAACGAAACAGATGAGGATTTCTCTGATATCCTTGGAGCCGATCAAGCTGCTTTGGATATTGCCGAAAGTGACGATGGCTCCGATCAAAGCAGTACATTGATGCTAAATTCCAAGCTATCCAACAACTCATGGCTTGGCGACCAAGATGACGATGATGACCCTTTCGCTCAATTGGAAGAAGGCTTTGATGAAATGGATCTGGAGGCTAACATTGCTCGTGACAAATACGCTCGTCTTCGCAATCAAGTTGAGGGTCTTGTGGGCTCTCTCAAGACATCTCAGGATGAGGAGGTTCTCGCTGAGATTTCCGAACAGCTGTTCACCATCTTCTGTGACCTGCCCGAAACGAAGAATATCATCATTAGTGCCCACGGAATGTTGCCTATTCTTGAGATCCTTGACACTACTCGTCGGCGTGATATTGTCTTCTGTTTGCTGAGGGTTGTTAACGCAATTATCTATGATGATTATGAGGTCCAGGAAAATCTTTGCTTCGTTGGTGGTATTCCCATCATCAACGAGTTCGCAGCCAAGAAGTATCCTCGAGAGATCCGACTCGAAGCTGCAGCATTCGTGCAGCAGATGTATCAGACTTCGACGCTCACGCTCCAAATGTTTGTCAGTGCTGGAGGTCTGAATGTTCTGGTGGAGTTCCTGGAAGACGATTACGAAGACGAACGCGAACTTGTGTTGATTGGTGTGAACGGCATCTGGAGTGTGTTTGAATTACAAGTAAGTATCTACTCTGTTGCGATTCCTTTTCCATACTAACAGTTCTCCAGGGCTCCACTCCCAAAAACGATTTCTGTCGTATCCTCTCTCGGAACTCTGTCCTTGACCCCCTTTCTCTAGTTTTAAGTCGTGTTCTTGATGAAGACGGGGAATTGGCAGAGGTTATTGAGGGTCGCATTGCCAACATCTTCTTCATTTTCTCGCAGGCCGAGAATCATGTCAAGGAGATGGTGGCTGAGCGAACTGTCTTGCATAGTAAGCAGGTTCTGGGACAATTTGTAGGCTTGGTGCTAACTATCATTTCCAGGAGTTTTGAAAGAGCTCAGGCGCATGAGCCCCGTTCACCAGATCACGATGTTGAAGTTCATCAAAAATTTGTCTATGCTTTCAACTACGCTTGATTCACTTCAAAACTCCAACGCAATTGATGTCTTGACTGATCTACTTCGATACAATCTGAAGAAGACCCATTTCCGCGAGGTGTCAAATCAGATCCTGAATACGATCTACAACATGTGTCGCCTGAACAAGTCTCGACAGGAAGATGCAGCATTGAACGGCATTGTGCCGCTCCTGCAAAAGATTGTCATGACAGAACGCCCATTGAAAGAATTTGCTTTGCCAATTCTTTGCGACATGGCACAGTCTGGAAAGGTTGGTCGTCGAGAATTGTGGCGGAACAAGGGTCTGGCCTTTTACATAACGCTTCTCGCGGATCCTTATTGGCAAGTCACTGCCTTGGATGCTATTTTCACCTGGTTCGTTCCCTCTCCAGATACTACGGGTTTCCCTGACTGACATTTAACAGGCTTCAAGAAGAGACCGCTAAAGTTGAAGAGCATCTTCTGGCTAATCGCTTTGACAAGGCAACATCCTTCACTGATGCTATTGTACGATGCTTAACGCTTTCCAAGGCCAATGCCTTTGAGAACATCCTCGACCCTCTGCAAAAGCTTCTCCGTCTGAGTCCCCCGGTTGCGTCTACTTTTGCACGGCCAGATCTCTTTACGAGACTGAGACAAAAGCTGCATCACAACAAGGCTGCAGTCCGATTGAACCTTCTGCGTATACTCTCTAGTATCTGTGACTCGAGCGAGCAGCAAGGAGGTCTGCTCGCCACTTATGGGCTTCTAGATGCCATTCGAGAACTAGAGAATGATCCAGCCATTCTTGTTCGAGATATGGCAGGCAAGCTAGTACAGTCAAGCGAAGCGTTCAGTCTCAGCAAAAGAAGACCCGCGAACCGACGGCAAAGCACATCTACCACCCCACCCATTGTGTTCTCCGGTTCTTCTACCCCATCAACACCCTCATCAAATCGCACCGGTCAACCACGAAGCTACCTGGAAGGACGAGAGACACCTCGTCACCCCAGGAACTCCCTCAGTGTCTCTTCTCTGGTCATGAGACCCGGCAGCCGGGATGGCAATAACCCAGCCCTCGGATCTTCCGCAAATGGCAGTGCAGCTGCTC